AAGCACACAGATCCATCAGCACTATAGTCAACATCAGCATACAAAGCATACTGACGAGCATCATCCATAGACAGTTCAAATACAGGAATCTTACCGGCTAGCAGGCGAGCCCAGCACGGGGTGGTCACCTTAAGACCCCTGCGCGCACGGTAAAGGTCGTCGAGGCGGTGCAAGCACCGCACCGCATAGTGGTCGTCGCGGCCCCAGACACAGGGACTGCCCGGTCCAGTGATGCACCAGTGGTCGCAGGGGCCGGTGTCGTGCCGTGGGGGGCGAGGGGCCCAGCTCGTAGTGCTGATGCTGCGGCCAGTGCTCCCGGGTCCTCCAGGTCCCCACTGTGGCGGAGGGCCCCAGTGCTGCTGCGGACCCCGCTGTAGTGGTGGTCCCCACGACTGAAACTGTTGTGGTGCCTGCCACTGCTGATGTCCCTGCTGGTGCTACTGTCTCTGCTGTGGCTGCTGCTGCTGTGGCTGCTGCTGCTGGGGCCCCGCACCGCCGCTGGTCGAACCTCCTCCATCAGGTGGGTCAGCACCTCTTTCAGAGCTCCCTCTGCCTGAGGCACCACCGCCACCGTCACCACTGCCACCCCCAGAGCCACCTCCACCACTGCCACCTCCTCCACCGCCGCCACCCCCCTTCCCCCCTTTCTTGCCTCCTCTGCCCCGTTTCTGCCTGTCAGCGGCAGAAAAACTGCAGTGTCCTCAGAGACCGACACAGCAGCAGAGGCACGAGAAGTAGTGAAGGTAGGAAGCTGGGGGACAGCACACCCCTCAAAAAGCCGAGGGGAAACTGCGTCAGTGGCTAAGGCAACAGAGAGGAGGTTACTCTTGATCTTCCCGAGAGTGGTCTCGAGAAGATTAATCGTAAGCTCACTGGGGTGCTGCTGGAAAAGTGCGTCACGCGCAGAGGAGAGGCGGTCAGGGAGACGAGTGACTACCCAGTGGACAATGAGCCAGACAGGGGGGGGAGCAAGAAGAAGCTGAGCCTCAGTGCAAGCTGCTCGGTAGCTAGCGACAAGGGGGCGCAAGTGTGTGGCTAGGTCAGAGACAGTCGCAAACGAGCCGAGATCGGGAAACAAGAATGGCATGAGGATGCGGCTGAGGGAGACAAAGGAACGGGTGGAATAGCGTGCAGAAATAGCATCATACACCTCCTTCGCAGTCTCTACCAGGTCGAAGTGAGCGGCCTCAGTCGGTGGAAGGAGCTCGGTCAACGCGAGTGCAGCCGCAGCGTCACAGGAGTCCCAAACGTCCCGCACCAAGACGAGACGAGGGTAGTCCGCCTGCGCCTCCGGAGTTGGGGGGGGCACGGCAGGGAGGGGCTCAGGACGCTGGGATGCCTGGAGGGCACCGGACGCGTGGGCGTACAGGGTGGCGCCGTCCTGGCGCTGGCTGGTGAGGTAGCGCTGAGTCTGGCGGAGCCAGGTGCCGAACTCTATCGGGCGTCCCTCCGCATCGAAACGAAGGCGGCGGGAGTCAATACTGGAGGCTAGGCTAGAGACGGCTAGAGCATGGAGCAGGCGGAGCTAGAAGCAAGAAGGGAGACTAGAGACAGCTAGAGACGCCAGCTGGACATATACTAGAGACAGTCGGAGGAAACTAGTCTAGGAGTGGGGATCTAACCAGTCCTAGGTCGCGCTACCGGTGGGAAGAGTGGTTGCCAGCCGCTGAAACGGAAGCCAACCGCAGTAGGAATGGCGTGGGGCCGGGGAACAGGTTAAGAGGAGAGGCCAACGGTTGGGCAGAGTGGGGGCGCACTTGGGTAGCAAGGGTGAGGGCACGCGATCAACTCGGGCTAGGGTTAGGGTTAGAGCAGGGGCGCGGGCTAAGGGCGAGGGCACGGGTAGGGCGCGTGTGCGGGCTAGGGCACGGCCTAGGGCAGAGCGCGGCTCAGGGCAGACGCTGCTGAGGGCGAGGGCGCGACCTAGGGCGAGGGCGCGGCTTAGGGCAGGGCGCGGCCTAGGGCGCGGGCTGTCGCTAGGGCGAGGGCGCGGGTTAGGTCGCGGGCGAGGGCGGCGGTTTAGGTCGCTGGCTGGGGCGACGGGCTGGGGCGCGGGCTGGGGTGACGGGCTGGGGCTCGGGCTGGGGCGACGAGCTAGGGCGTGGGCTGGGGCGACGGGCTAGGGCGCGGGCTGGGGCGACGTGCTAGGGCTCGGGCGCTGGCGAATCCGCAGGCTAGGCGTGGAGGGCGCGAGAGCGCGGAGGGCGCGGAGGGATCTAGGGCGCGGAGGGCGCTAGGGCGCGGAGGGATCTAGGGCGCAGAGGGCGCGGAGGGATCTAGGGCGCGGTGGGCGCGGAGGGCGCTAGGGCGCGGAGGGCGCGAACACGGGCTAGGCTAGGCTAGGAAACGAACCTAACTGATACCATCTCAAGAAACGTGCACAACAGAATGATTAAACTAGGGAAGCGAGGGGTACAAATAGCAACCCTAAAAGTGCTGTACTCTCTAGAGTGCTACTCAATGTAGCCTAACAACCTATAACAACATTTGACAAAGACAGCCTGGAAACGAATGCAGGTGAGGAAATATGGAGCCACGTGGACTCAAACGAGGCAAAGGCACTTCGCATCGTTTCCACAAGTGAGGGCAAGACGACGTGGAGCCACATTACCAGTATAGGACCCAATGAAGCAATGTAAGCCACCCCGATATGGCCACGTGGGAGGGTTAAATCACTAGGCTAATTGCAGGAATCAGTTATGATTGTGGTTGTAACATATTGGACTCCCAACACCAGAAAAATGAAGCATAATTTTGTTCATCTAGATATGATAACAATTCAGACTGTTCAATCGTGCAATGCATATATATATGTATATAATGTATATATATGTATTGCAGAAGCTGGGGTCAAGTCATTGTTGGTTTGTCCAGCACGACATAAAACCGCACGTGATCACAGATGAAGACAACGGACAATGACGTTCCGCATGACTTCAAGAACAGTTTTTCATCGTCGTTTTAATTTGGCATGTGTATATTCCAGAATGTCTCCTCCGAGTCGGTTCAGAATCAGCACACACGGAGTCGGTTCTGATGGGGGACACATTAGCTAACTAAAACATAATAAAGTATTGTGTCAGTCACTGTCATCATCAGCGCGAGCGTTGTTTGGAGGTCATCGTGCGACCGGGAGGTGAGAATGAAGCAGAACCACCACTTAAGTGAATGTTGTGTTTTCCACGCCTTTCGTCAGCACACGTCATTCGCTGGTTTCATTGAGCTGGCTGACTGCACATCTGCCCGTTGAATACAAATGATGGCTCTGTTCGCTAGCCCAACAGTACAGCATGGCTTGATCTGGTCAGTGCTGGACAGTTGCCATGCCAGCGTGTCCGTCCCCACACCTCTTCTTTCCCCAGGGTTGGGTTTCCTAGATTCTTCGCACAACAAAGCATCCAGCGGTGGGCGCGCACTCTGAACCAGCTCCAAGCAAGCCCCCTTGAATGCCCTGCAAGAGATTTTTTGGCGTGGGCGACGCCATACCTCAACGGGCAAATAGGGTGCGGGGGATCAGTCATCATGCTGCTGCCGCTATTCAATGCTTTTGTTCGATCCACTTTTCGCGCTTCCACCGAGGATTGAGAACCCCACAACAACCCCATGACGCAAGCACGGCCATCCATCATCCCCATTTCTCCTCGAAATTTCCCATTTCCCATTGCCATGCCACGCAAGCCCAACATGCCCCGTCGTGGTTCAGGTCTGGGCATCACATGGTGTTTCCATCCACCCAAAAGAACCAGTCGTTTTCCGTGAAATATATACACTCGCAAATGCTCCTACTGATGCAATTCTCAGTAGAGTGAACAATTTTATTGCTGACGACTGGGTGGGTTCGGTCAGCCTCCCCAAACTGTGACAGACTGACTGCGGTTTCTCAGGGGGCTTCCAGACAGTTTCGCACACCAATCACCCACCGCGTCATTTCCAAATCCCAATCGACTTTTCCCCCTCCCCCCACCCCATCCCCAAACCGAACCGAACGCACAACGCACCTCCTTCCCTAACCCATACCCCAAGCGGTGGCCACTGGCCCCCATTCTTCGTTCTCCGCTGCTGCAGCGCACACACCTCCCTCCCCTCCCCTCCCCCCCCTTTTTCACCCTCCCAGGCGTCGCCTCGCGCTGCTTCTGCGACCCTTCCCCCGCCTGCACCTCTTTCCGCCCCCTTCTCCCCGCCTCCCCTTCTCCCCACCCCGCTCCCCCATTCCCCTTCCCGTCTGTACAGTATTTGACTTCCCCCGCTCCGCCTCCCAATCTCCCCCCCCCCTTCTCCCCGCCAATCACCTCTTTCTGCGCCCCACCAAACGTGCCCCATTCCCCTCAATCCTCTCCTGTTTCCAAGGCCTTCCGCCGCCTCCTCTCCGTCGCTCTCTCGTGCTGCGAGCGCAACTTGCATCCCCCACGGACTTGCCCTCACACACCTCGAGATTGGTTTCGTCATCTCTGTCGTGTCTCCGGTTGTGAAACTTGTTCAGTGGTTGGCTTTTCCACCATGAACGATTGGTCGTACACGTAGCCGTTATTTTGACTCCGAGAAAAAGGATCCGTAGAGTAGAAGCTCCCAGCCAGGATTTCGTTGCAATGGCTTCTCGAGGAAGGTCCACGCCGTGTGGACGATCCATGGCGGGAATCCTGGATGTTCATGTTCATTACGCGGCAGGGCTCCCGTCATTGTGTGACTATGGCGAGCAGGACGTTTACGTTCGTTTTTTATTCGGCGAGCTCGATCCCCTCTCGGGTGCCGTGTTACAGGTACCCAACTCTATCCGTCGTCGACGACTTACCAACACTTCACTTTTCTCGTCTATTAGTAGGAGCGTGGCATCCGCTCAACAGTTAATCACTTCCCAATAGAGTGCGACCGACTTGACTTCACCTTATTTTTCTGGAGCTTGCGTTTTCGCCCTTGCGGCTTAGAAAACTCGTCGTAAGGACTGTTGCTCGCATAGCGTCAATTTCTATATTGGGTTTCCCGAATCCTGCGTGCGTGAGCAGACCAGGACTGTTCGCAAGGGCGGTACGCGTCCCATATTCGACCAGTCGCTGCAAGTCGGAGTCCCATCGGGCGAGCAGGTTGGTGCTGCCTTGTTTTGTACTCTAGTTGTCCCTTGCAATCATCACGATAAGATGCAGCATAAACATATCGCGTCCAATATTCGACCAGTCGCTGCAAGTCGGGGTCCCGTCGGGCGAGCAGGTTCGTGCTGCGTTGTTTGGTACGCTAACATGGTTGTCCCTTGCAGTTATCGTCATCGCATGCAGCATCCACGAGTCTAAAATATTTCGACCAGTCGCGTCACTTCGGATTTCTTAAGCGCCCAGGGTCGCGTCGATTGTACCTATGTTGCGGAAGAAAATTACCGAGTTTGCCACCAGGAGCTACTCTGAGACGTCGTAAGACTCTTGAACTGTTCCTGTTGCCACCCTCCCGCGTGTACGTAAGAGAATAAGGGCACTAGCGACGCTTTCGGCACTCCATGCCGGTCGACTTTCTTCCGCGATACCCTGCCCGCGCACGTCCCGCGCTTCGCGTTCTCCGTCGTCGTTCCTCGCATTCGTCGTCGTTTCCCCCTCCCCCCACAAACCCCCCCCCCCCCTCTCCCCCTCCCCCTCCTCCGCTACGTCGCCGTTGCGGAAGTTGCGGAACTCCCACGTCGCGTCCGCGCGATGGGGTTTAGATACTCTTCGTAAACGTGGCTCTTCGTCGGTTAGTCAAGCCGTCTTTTCCCAACGCCCGGCCCTTTACCCTTTCAAGCAGTCCTTGTTCACCTCTCTCCACTTCCCCACCCAAATCTTCCCCGCTACTTCCTGTCGACGAACCGTGCGCAGCCTCTGCGCTGCGAATTTTTCATGTGGCGGTCTCGCGGTCGTGGTCAGATGCCGACCCCGCTTTCCCCTCATCTCCTCTGTCCCCTCTCCCCCACTTCCCCCTCCCCCACCGTCCGCTTCTCCCCGCTTCCCCGTTTGTTCTGCCCCTCCCGCCGCCCCGTTCCCCCACTTCCGCCCTCCGCACAGCGTCTCCGCTGCGAGGTGTTCATGTCGCAGCCGCGCGGGCGCGACCAGCTGCTGGGCGCCGCGAACGTGTCGCTGGAGGAGATTATATCGCGTACGGCCAAGCTGTCCAAGAAACCCGCAGAGTTCAAGTGAGCTCCGCCCGCGCCCTTCATTCATTCAAGCAATCATTGGCGCATCTTGCGTCAGAACTCCGCGCATCCCCTCCCCGCTCGCACACCCCCACCCCAACCCCCCTCTCCCTCGCTCCGATTCTCAACCTCCATTCTCATGTCGCCTCGCCTCCCCTACCAATTCTTCTTTTGCGCTTCGCAGTCTCCCCTTTTTTTTCGTTCTTACCGGTTCAAACCCGACTCTCCTCTCGTTCGTTCCCCGTGACGCTCATTTTCTCTCCCCTGTCCCCCCCCTTCCCTCAGACTGCTAAGCAGCAGCAGCGCGCCCGCGGGCGCTCTCGTTCTCACCCTCACCTACCACGGCCGCTCCGCCTCTTCCTCTCGCCCCGCCGCGCAGCCCTCCGCGCTATTCGGTGCGCAGTCCGCCGCGCAGTCGGACGGACAAGCCGGCGCGGCGGCAGCGGCAGCGGCGGCCGCTGGCGGAGCATTCACGCGGCTTGCGTTCCCGTCTTTTCCGCAAGACTCCGCCTCCGCCGCCGCCGCCGCGGTCGCGCTGCTCCCCGCAAAGAGAACGCCCCCCCCGCTCCCCGCCTCCTTCGCGATGACTGCGCCTCCTCCCCTCCCCGGATCCCTCCCCGCGTCTAGCGCCGTAGACGCGATAGCAGCCGCGCTGTTTCCGCGGGCGCACATTCAAGCACAGGCGCAGGCACAAGCGCAGGCGCAAGCGCAAATGCAGCCGCAGATGCTGACGTCACCCCAGCAGGCTTCGCCCAGGTTCCTCCCCGCCTCTTCTCCGTTTCCGCCTCCCCCTTCCCCGCCTGGCGCTATTGCGCAGGCGACAGGGGCTTCCGCGCCGTCCCCTTCGTTTTTTAATCCTTCCCCTTCGTTAGTATCACATCCCTCGCCCTCGTTAGTATCACGTCCTCCCGCCTCGTTAGTATCACATGCGCCTCCCTCGTTACTGTCACATCCTTCCGCCCCAGCGGCGCCGTTACTTTTCAACCACCTGGCCGCGTCCGCCGCTGCGCCGTCGTCGTCGCAGCGCTGGCGCGCAACGGAAGACGCGTCGCAGCTAGAATCGAGGCCACTAGTAACGGGGACGGAGGAGGAAAACCGCGCAGGCGGGGCGTTTACAGGCGCGAAAGGGGCGGGGGGAGGTGTGCTTCGCGGTATAACTTTCGCGGAGTTCAGTTTGGGGGGAGCGCGGATCGGCGGAGGGGAAGTAGGTGGCGTAGGAACAGGGGGGACGGGGGGGACGTCGGGGGTAGCGGGGGCGGCAGCGGAGCTGATGACGATGGCACAAAACGACAGCACGCACAGGTCGTATCTGGCCAGACAGTTACTGGACTCGAGCGCTGCAATGCAGGGCGGCGCGAGTATGGGGCCGATAGATTTGGGTCCATCCAACGGTGGAGATGCAAGCATGGGGGCGGTAGACCTGGGGGGCGCTAGTTTGGAGGCGGGGGGCACAGGATCCGCGGAAACTTTAGAGGCGGGACGAGCAGGCGGAGTTATGGGGGGATTGGGTGGGGGGAGGATGGGGGGAACGGGGAAGACATCCCCGCCCCCCTGCTTGGATCTCTCCGCGGGTTTGGGCAGAACAGGGGGACCGGAAGGGGGCATTGGGGGGAGAAGAAAGAGTTTGAGGCGGGAGCGGGAGTGGTGGAGTGAGGCGAAGGCGGAAGCGATGGAGGTGGAGGGGGGAAGTGAGTTGTGTGGGGTAAGGTCCGCTGTGGGGGGAATAGAGGTTGGATTGTCGACTGTGGCGACATCAGCAGCAGCATCATCAGAAGCAGTTGGTAACGAGAGCGCAGCAGCTCGTATCAAGAGTGCAGACGCAGCACAACCGAGAGCAGAATCAGGAGCAGACAGAAGCACAGAACCGACAGCAGACTTATTGAACAGTAACCATGCTCACAGCCAAAACGAGCAGCAGCAACAAGCGGAGGAGGAGGAGGAGCCGCCGAGGCTGATGCAGCTGCTGCCGATGCAGTGGTGCTCGGAGGACAGAGAAAAGGACAGTTCCGTGCATGGTGAAAGCAGCGACAAGCCATCAGGGCCGTCGGATAGACCATCTGGTCTCACTCTTTCAGATAACACACTAGCGACCGTTGCAAGCCCGGACCTATCCATTGGTAGGGCAACGCAGCTGAGCCTCGAACCTGCCGAGCCAAGCAGGCACGACTTGGCGTCAACTTTGACTCTAGGTTTGGAACCCGAGCCTGTTGGAGAGTCAGAAAGAGCGCCCGTCGCCTGCCACCCTGCGCCCTTTTCCATGGCCGCAGGCTCATCCTTTCAGCCGATTCAACAGGCACCTTTTCAGGTGCTTTTTCAGGTGCCATTTCAGGTGACACAACAACGTCCTGGTCAGGCGCTTCAACAGGCGCCCTTATCTATGGTCCCGGGCGCGGGCGTGGGCGCGGATACGTACGTGTATAGTAGTAATCCGGGCAGTTTAGGAGATCAACTGCATGCAGCCGTTGCAGCATCCGCTGCTGCTGCAGCCGCTAGTGCTGCTGCTGGTGCTGCTGGTGCTGGTGGTGCTAGTGCTGCTGGTGCTGGTGGTTCTCCTGCTGTTGGTGGTGGTGGTGGTGGTGCTACCACTGGCGCGTTTTTCTCTGCTTTCCCACCGCATCCGTCCTCTTCCATGCATCTACCCACGCAACCCGTGCCAACGCTACCCACAGCAGCTGGCTCTGCGGCATCCCTTTCATTCCAAGCAGCCCCTGTCTCTGCCTCTCCCCTTGCCCCTCTCTCTGCCCCTGTTCCCGTCGCTATCCCTGTCCCCATCTCTGCCCCTGCCCCTGTGTCTCTCGCCCCCCCTGCTTCTATCTCCTCCTCCTCTCGCCCAACCGCCTCTGCGTTCCGCCCCTATCCAGCCACCTTGCGCTCTGATACCAAATCGCCCCAGGCAGGTTCGGCCACCGAGCCTAGCCTGCCCGGCGGGGACTCGTCCAGGCTCGGCGGGGACTCGTCCAGGCTCGGCACAGACTCGTCCAGGCTCGGCGCCGAGCCATGCCGACCGGCAAAGAAGCAGTGCTGTTCACCCGCCCGCCAAGTCTACCCCGTCTCCCCTCAGCAAGCATCCCCCTCACCTCAGGGCTACGCTTTGCCTCTTGACCATACTATACCTCAGAATCCAAAACAGGGTGCTGCTGACAAGCCCGCTTCGTTGCTCCCGTCCCTCCCCTCCTTCTCCTGTCGCTCCCACAGTACTGCTGCCTGCCCTGCTGCTGCTGCAGCCAGGTCTCTGTTTGGAGCGTTGATGGGTTCCACTGGGTTTGGTACAGGCAGTGGTGTGAATGCCAGTGCCAGTGCCAGTGCCAGTGCCAGTGGCACTGGTAGTGGTGGTGACTCTGCGGCTGGATCGTCCTCAGCTGCTGCTACAGCTGCTGCCACAGCCGGTGCTGCAGCCAGTGCTACAGCTACAGCCGCTGCTACAGACGCTGCAGCTTCTACCGCTGCCGCTACAGCCCGTGCCTCAGCTTGCCCGGGTGCGCCCGCGTGGCTTGTAGCTCTGTCGTCCTCGCTTGGCATGGGCGGGTGCAAACAGCAGCAGCCGCAGCAGCAGGGGAAGCAGCAGCAGACGCAGCAGCAGGGAAAGCAGCAGCAGACGCAGCAGCAGGGAAAGCAGCAGTCACAGCAGCAGGGGAAACAGCAGCAGAAGCAGCAGCTAGCGAAGCAGGGGCAGAAAGCGCCGCTGCTGCAGCAGCTGCAGCAGGCACAGCAGAAGCAGGGGAAGCAGCTTCACTCAGTTGCTACTGCTCCTCCCGATGCCGCCGCATGTGGATCAAGGATTCTCCGTCTGGCTGAGCTGCTGGGCGAAGTTGAGAGCCATCGCAAGGCCCAATCATCGTCCTCACCTTCTCCACCGCCAGCAACAGCCGCAGCAGCAGCAGCACCGGCGGGATCCCTGGCAGCAGGGTTAGCAGCTGCAGCGGCAGCAGCCACTGCTGCGGCTGCAGCCGCTACAGGAGCAGGGGCTGTAGCAGGGGTTGTAGCTGGGGCGAGAGGGACGTTAGGCAGCAGCAGAGGGGTTGACAAGGGGCGGAATTCTCACTCTCACAGCTCAACATCCCAGTCTCCAACGCCGGCCCCGGGCCTGATAGGTTTGGGCCAAACCGGCATCCGAACCTCCTCCAAGCCTTCCTCCCGTTTGATCCTGCCTTCCCCGTTTGCCACCGGTGATGCTGCTACCAGTGTCTCTGTTGGTGCAGCAATGGGTGGTGGTGGGGGTGGTGCTGGTGCTGGTGCTGGATTAGGGGCGGCTTTTGAGTCGATTCAAAAGTCACCTCGGGGCATCGGTGCTGGTTCAGGGGCGGGTGTAGGGGCGGAATTAGGCACGAGGAAGGGGAGTTTTCTACCCCACCTGATGCTGGCACTTGAGAATTCAAAGAAGGCGAAGCAAAGCGCAGGGGCAGGTGCGTTCAGCAGTGCTCTCAGCGCCTCTACAGCTAATGCCACAGCCGGTGCTACAGCCGGCGGTGCTACAGCTAATACCACAGCCTGTGCTACAGGTGGTGCGTCTAGTGCTGTCTGCGGTCCAAGGCAGACTGGCAGCAGTGGCACACCGGGTATGGTCGACATGCCAGCTATAGCTGGCCCCAATCCAGGGCTAGGCGCGGCCATTGCTGCTGCTGCCGCTGCAGCTGCTGCGGCTTCTTCTTCTGCTGCTGCTGCTGCTGGGTCTAGTGGGTTTACAGGGGGGTTTGGGAGGGGTAAGGGAGCTGGGGTCGCGTCTGGTGCGGGTGCCGAGGCAGGAACGGGAGTAGGAATGGGAACAGCAACGGGATCTGGAAAGGGAGCTGGAACGGGAGTAAAAAGTGTTAATGGGGGTGGAGCAGAGGTGGGTGCTGGGGAGAAAAGAAGAGGAGGTGAGGGAGGAGGAGCAGGAGGAGGAGGCGGGGCGGGAGGGCAGGGGCAGGCGTCGTGGCACAGGGAGGACCAGATCACTCCCACGTCCGTCCTTGATGTCGCGATGTCCGATGCTGACAGGTGAGATGCGGTGCTGACAGGTGAGATGCGGTGCTGACAGGTGAGATGCGGTGCTGACAGGTGAGATGCGGTGGTCATGGATGAGGAATTGAAACCGAAGGGTTAAGTACGACCCATCTCACCCTACTCCCTGTCTTTTGAACCCCTCTTTTCGTCAACCCCCCGCTCTGTTTATTAACCCTGTTTCCATCAACCTCCCTCTCTGCTTCTCATCGCCTTTCTCCGCCTCTCTTCCCTCGTTCCCCGCAGCGAGCATGCCACAGAGGACGTGCACATGGCTGAAGCTGCTTCCGCCCCACAACCACCGCCAACGGCAGCAACAGCAGCAGCACCATCAGCAGCAGCAGCAGCATCGCATGCATCATTAGCAGCATCAGCAGCCCCCATGCCGCCCAGCCTCGCAGCTCTCTTTGCATCCCAGCCTGCAGGGGCTACTGCTGCTGCTGGAAAGATCCGTCCAAATTTAGCCACCCAGCAGCAGCAGCAGCAGGAGAGGGTGCAGGGGGAGAAAGGGGGCGGGCAGTTTTCGCCAGAGCCTCCCACCTGGCAGCGCAGCTTTGCTGCAGCTTTTGCAGCGGCCCATGTGACGCCCGCAGCCCATGTGACCTCCTCAGCTAGTGTTACACACTCAGCTCATCTTAGCGCCCCTGCTACCACCAGTGCCTCTGTTGCTGCTGGTTCCGCTGCTACGCCGCACCCTGTCCCTCTCATCCCTCCTCTCCCAACTTCCGCTCTCCCTATTCCTACTCCTTCTGCTCCTGTTTCCTCCAGCCCAGCTCCTTCCGCTCGTGCTTCTGCCCCTCCCCCTAATGCTTCTCCACCTCCTCCTCCGCCTTCTGCTCTCTCTTCTCCTACTGCCCCCAGCGCATTTGCCGCGTTACTGAGAGCCAGTGAGGCAGCTAATCCCTCCACACCTCTTCACCACCCCAATCACAGCCTCAACACCTCTTCACCCCTTCACCAACACCACCAGCACCAGCACCAGCACCAGCAGCACTACCAACACAACCACCCGCATCCGCCTTTTCATGCAGCAGCTGCACCAGCCACTGCAGCACCGGCCCCCCGATTGCCAACTCCCGTCATTACCAACCCTCCATCCCTCCCTCCCTGCCACCGCTCCTCTCCTCCCTCTCCCTCTCCCCCCTCTCCCTCTCCTCCCTGCCTTTCCTCTCCTCCCTCACCACCCTCTCTCCCCTCCTCCTCCCCTGCTTCCTCCTCCAACCCCTCCTCCTCCACCTGCCCTCTCACGGCCCTCCGAGCCTCTCTGCCGAACCTCCCGCTGCCAGGCCTACCGCTGCCGAGCCTGCTGTCGTGGCACCGCAAGGTGGAGGGGGAGGAGGCGGCGCTGCTGAGGGAGCAGGCTGCAGCCATCTGGCAGGTCTCTAAGGCGCTCATGGGGCAGGGGCAGCAGGGGCAGCAGTTGCAGTACCAGCAGGGGCAGGGGCAGGGGCAGGGGCAGGGGCAGGGGCAGGGGCAGGGGGAGCAGGGGCAGCAGAGGCAGCAGGCGGAGCAAGGGGAGCAAGCAGCCGCGATCTGGCAGGTCTCTAAGGCGCTTAAGGGACAGCAGGGGCAGGGGCAGGGGCTGGGGCAGGGGCAGGGGGAATTGGCTTATTTCCCGAAGCCTATTGAGGAAGCAGAGCAGGAAAGTGCAGCAACAAGCGAGGCAGAAGCGGCAGGTGATAGAGCAGCACCAGCATTAGCAACAGCAGCATCAGCAGCAGCAGCAGCATCAGCAGCAGCAGGAGGAAAAGCAGGAAGCCCTGGGCTGGCGGGTATGCAGGCTTTGGCAACCCTAGCTGCTCTGCAGCAGCAACAGCAACAGCAGCAGCAGCAGCAGCAGCAGCAGCAGCAGTCAGCGTCACAAAGCCATGCTGCCCTGGCTGTGGCAGCTTCCTCTGCTACCGCTGCTGCTTTTTCTCTTGCAGCTCCTGCCCGTGCTAATGGTGCTGCTGATTCTACTGCCACTGCTGCTGCTCCTACTGCTGGCTGCATGTCAGCTGAACGGCCGAGCAGAAACGGAATGGCGTCTGATCGCTCTGGGTGTGGGAAGAGGAGCAAGCGGCGTTCCTCCCACTCAAACACCAACACCAACACTAACACCTACACCAACACCACTGGCACTGCTACCACTGCTACCACCACCACCACTGCCACCACATCTGCCAGTACAGATCATTCCTCCGCCTGCAGCCCTCCTGGTGCCATGCCAGGTGCTACATCAGGTGTTACGCCAGGTGTTTTTTCAGGTGTTTTTTTGCCTGCTGTCACATCAGGTGCAATGCCAGGTGCAGGCACGAGCACAGCAGCACGCACAGGCACTGTTGTGGACACAAGCAGAAGCTTGGAGTGGGGTGGAAGCATAATCACCCCACATTCAACCCTGGTTGCAACAGGCAGAGCTGTGGGCGGCGCTGCAATGGAAGGGAGTGGCACATACGACAGCAGTAGCGCGGTAGCAGCTGCAGCAGCACCGAAGCAGCAGCAACAGCATCCGCATTTAGCAGTAGAAGGTGCAGCCGTGGCAAGCCAACCGGCCAGTGGCAGTGCTGAGGCAGCACAGCAGCAAAGGAGAAGCACTGGGATGGCAGCACTTGTACCAGAGGGCAGCGGGGTGACAGCACACCAGCAGGCAGCGAGCGGCAGTGTGATCGCAGCACACGAGCCTGGTGCTAACGGCAGTGTGATGTCAGCACACCAGCATGCAGCGGCGGTGTGGCAGGCGAGCATGGGGAAGAGCAGGGAGGAGGCGGAGGCGCTCTGTGAGCAAGCCGTGCGGGCGGGGACTCTCACTCACGACCAGGCTGCTGAATTCTGCGGACTGCTTTCCAAAGAGAGTCTGAGGAGCTTGAGAGAGGTGAGAAGGGGTGGAGGTGGATATGGGGTTAGATTGGGTGCGGTAAGCAGGTGAGATAGGTAGGCATGCTCTGTGTGTGAGGAGAGCAGTGCGGGTTCACACTCTCTCCTTAGGCACCACTTATCCTAATCTGTCCCGCGCCCCCCATAGTTCCCCCCTGCTTACGAACAGTCTTTTTTAGCAATGGAGGATAAGTTTCGGGGGTGCTCCATAATAGATCTGGAGGAGAGCCGTAACACACACTCTCTCCTTCTCATCCATCTCCCCCCCCCCCTGCCCTCTCTCCTGCTTCTCACAGTCGCTTCTAGCGATGGAGGTCAAGGTTCGGGGGTGCTCCATAGAGGATCTGGAGGAGAGTTTCCGCACTCTGTCTCTTATCCCTCGCCCCCTTCCCTTGTCTCCCCTTGCCTCCTCTTCAGTCTCTTCTAGCGATGGAGGATAAGTTTCGGGGGTGCTCCATAGAGGACCTGGAGGAGAGTCGCCGGCAGGCGTGGCGGGAGTTCTGGGAGAAGCTGGAGGTGGGCAGGTGGCGGGGAGGGGCTGCTGCGCTCGAAAAACACATGTTGCAATTCTCCTAATCCAACCCACCTCTCTCTCTCTTTCTTATCCCCCACTCCTCCCCCGCTCTACTTCGTCCCCCTCCTCCAAACAGTCGCTTCTAGCAATGGAGGACAAGTTCCGAGGCTGCTCGATAGAGGACCTGGAGGAGAGCCGTCGGCAGGCGTGGCGGGAGTTTTGGGAGAAGCTGGAGGCGGGCAGGAGGAGGGGAGGGGCGGCGGCTGCTGCTGCGGGCGGGCCGAACGGGGTTGTGGGCGGAGCGACTGGGAGCGGCGCCGGCAATGGCTCGTGCATTTTTTACGGCAGCCGCGCGTTTTTCTGAGGCGGCATGGCATGGCGTGCCAGAAATGGGGGAACCGGATTTGCATATGGAAGGAACTGGTGATGAAATAGGTGTTGAATACGCTCTTTGAGTTCTGGAAGAAGCTGGTGACGGGCTGGTTGCGAGGAGGAGAGGAGCGGGTGGGGGCGGCTGTGAGGAGGAGGGGGGGCGGCTGCTGCTCGGGATGCACAGGGTGGGCCGAATGGGGTTGTGCGGGCCGTGGCAATGGCTAGTGCATATTTTACGGCTGCCGCACACTCTCTTGAGGTGCCATGGCATGTGAAGGAAGGAATCGGTTTGGTGGTGAAGGAATTGGTGTTGAATACGCTCTTTGGGTTCTGGGAGAAGCTGGAGGCGGACAGGAGGAGAGGAGGGGCGGCTGCTGCTGCTCGTGACGCACAGGGCGGGCCAAATGGGGCTGTGGGAGCTGGGGTGGAGGCGGTGCTGGCAATGCTTCGTGTATTTTTTTACGGCTGCCGCACGTTCTTTCTTAGGCGTCGTCGCGCCGTGTGCCATAAATGGAAGTAACCGGTTTGATAATGAAGGGACTGGACGTTCTTCAAGTCCCACAGGCTTTGTGGGTCTGACTCTGGAGTTTGATTTCTTGATTAATTATGAGCGAGCACGCCTAATTCGGTAGAGCTAATTCGGATAGAATGATTGATTCCTGGATATATATTGTAAATGGTGACTATGAGAGATTACGTGTAGCACCTTGAGCAGTTTAGAGTTGCTGACTATAGCTAATCCCTGTTTCAGATGTACGGGGCGTGTTTCAACACTCGAGAGTATCCTTTCAGGTGCGTGTTTCTGTGAGTCAGTTACAAACTCGGAGCTGCTTCCGCGAGATTCGCAAGGGCAGGTTACAACCCGAAACGCCCGGGAGTAGCCTTGCAGCACGATTTGAATCACCAATGGGGAGCTGCACCTTGAAAGGAAACGATGTAAGGGCGAACCAGAAACACGCCCTCAAGTCCAGAGCCTGCTCATCGTGCAGTGTATTTGAATCAGCGTTTGACCTCTTTTCTTTGGAGCCATCGTTGATTAGGGCTTGTTGCGATATCGCTTCGCCATACGTGATCCGACATTTTCACAACTCCGTTGCTTCTGCGTCCATTAGCGTTACGATAGAATTCTCCTTTTTTTCCATTAAACATAAACGAGATAACAACACGAGCTAATCAGCAAAACCAGTCGGCGTGAGAGTGAAATCAGCCAATCGCGTGGAGGAGAATTCTCATAAGTGACGCCGATCGCGTGGAGGAGAATTCTCAAAAGCGACGCCGATCGCGTGGAGGCATGTATGCGGATCGCCTAGAGGAGGAGGGGGAGACCGTGAGAACCCGCCTCTCGGGGGGCCGAGGCGGCGTGCGCGCAGGCGCCGCGAGCACCGGGCCAATCAGGAACCGCGTGTCGTTCAAGAAGGGCGGCTCGACCACCACTTTCAGGTGCGCCGCGTCTTCCTGCTGCTCGGGATGCGTCGCATTCTGCCTGTGCCTCGGGTTACGCTGCGTCTGCCTGCGGCTCGGGTTACACCATGTATGGTACCGCCTTTGGGTAACATCTAAGTTGGCTCAATAGTCACCTTCGGTTACACTGCCTCCGATGTCGCCTTTCGGTGACTATTGAGTCGCGGATAGAAGCTGAGGCTGGAATTGGCTAGCTGGGCGTGATAGCATTTGCTTTCGTCGCCCCCCGTGCGTCTTGTAGCTCCTGATTTAGCCAACCCCTTATTTTCAGTAGTGCAGGTGGCGTTAGGGTCGGTTCAGTAGTATGGGAAGAAGTATTTGCCAGAATGACTTGCATTGTATGTAGATCCGCGTTGCATCGGTGTCTCAATGGAGGTTCAGTGGGGAGAAGGCGGGGAAAGGCGTGGGACAGGGAAACTAGTGGGGACGGAGAGGAAGGAGATGCGGAAGGAGCAGGTTGGGGGGGAGGGGATGGGGATGCGGAAGGAGAATGTCGGGGGGAAAGAGGAACAGGGGAGATGGGGAGGAAAGGATAAGACGTTTATCAGTTAAGCCTGAGGGATTTTGTATTTCGGAAAAACGGGGGTATGTTTCAAACGCCTCAGGCACTGAGGCTTAACAAAATCCCTCGTACCATCATCACCACTACCATCCCCACCACCACCATCCCCACCACCACCATCACCCTTCAGGAAACGCTCTACTGGCGACAACAGGTGGTGGTGGTGGTGCTGCTGCTGCTGTCAGCAGTGACAACAGATGGCATCAAGACCTGTTTGACCAGAGCAGTGGAGGAGAAGATGGTGATGACCCTACTGTTAATGGTGCGCCTTGCATGTAATCATCTCCTCCCTTCCCACCGCAAATCAGGCATCGGTCTACTGGCGGCAGTGCAGGCTTTTGAGACGTCTCAAAAGTCGTCTACTGGCGGCAGTGCAGGCGATGCTGACACATGGCATCAAGGCCTGTTTGACCAGAGAGGTGGTGGAGGCCGAAGATGATAAACCTACTGTTAACGGGGTGACTTTTGAGTCGACTCAAAAATAAACCTACTGTTAACGGTGCGCCTTGAATCTAATCCTCTCCTCCCTTCCCACCTCAATCAGGCGTCACTCTACTGGCGGCAGCGGTGACCAAGACAGGTGGCATCACGACCTTTTTTATCAGAGCGGTGGTGATGATGACCCTGCCGGTGATGGTGCGCGCTTTCTCCATCCCACCACTCCCCTCCACTCCCCTCCACTCCCCTCCACTCCCCTCCACTCCCCTCCACTCCCCACCACTCGCCTCCACTCCCCTCCACTCCCCTCCACTCCCCTCCACTCCCCTCCACTCCCCTCCACTCCCCTCCACTCCCCTCCACTCCCTCTCGCTCCCTTCCTTTCCACGCCTCCTGATTCGCTCGAATTTTTTTCGAGGATTCTTAAAACTCTCTCCCCTCCTTCATTTCGTCCCATGCGTTGGAGAGGTCACTTTGAGAGGTCGTTTTGAGATCTTTCAAAGAGTGGTGTAGTCAAACGTGTCTCTCTCTTTCCCGCTGCCCTGGTGTTTCTACCGCCCTCTTCAATTCCCGCTCTCTCCTCTCAGCACCGCAGTCGCACTCAGCTTTTTGAGTCCCATATTCAAGTTTTTTTTTTTTTTTTTTTTTTTTTTTTTTTTAGTCGACTAATAGAAAATAGCAATTTGAATCCCATATTCGAGGATTTCCTTCCCCTCCTCCTCTGCACTCCACTGACCTTGCCCCCCTGCCCTTCCCTCCCGCTCTTCCTTTTTCCCCTTCCCCCCTCCCCCAAACTCCCCCAGGAGTCCCCCCAGCCAACGACCTCCGCGCCCTGCTCAGGGCCAAGGGGGGGAACCTTCGGGGCGCAGGGGGGAAACTGGGGGGAAGGTTGGGCGGAAAAGTGCAGGTAGCAGACCTCCGCCACAAGTTGTCTGGGGGGAGCGGGGGGAAGAGGGGGAATGGGGGAAGCGGGGCAAGTGTGGGAAAGGTCACCAGGGGGAGACTAGGCGCGGGTGTGGGGGGAAGTGAGGGGATTTTTGCAGCAGAAGGGGAGAGGGGAGGAAATGGGGAAGCAGTAGCACGGGGAAGAGGAGGGGAGGGAATGGTGGTGAGGGGTAGAGGAGCAGTGACAAACATATCCTCTCTATCCTTTAGGAATGATGAGCGGGTGGTGGTTGGTGGGGACGTGGGAGGGGTGGTGAGAGTGGCAGCGGCTGCTGCCGCTGCTGCAGCAGGAGGAAGGGGAGGGGGAGAACGGCTAGTGAAGCAGCAGCAGCCACGGCAGCAGCACCATCAGCAGCAGGAGCAGCAGAGGAGGCTGACAGTGGTAGTGACAAATGATGAGGGTGGAGGAGCAAGGAGCATCAGGAGGAGAAGCACGGTGGTGGGGGCAGTAGGAGTGGGGGAGGAGAGGGGGGTGACTGCTATGGATGCTGACGTGGCTATGGAGGGGGGGGATGAGCAGCAGGTGAGAAACGGCTGGGAAGAGGGTCTGTAGTGTGAAGAGGAGCAGGTGAAACGCCTGACTTTTGAGACGTGTGGTGAGAAGGCTATAGAGTGTGTGATTGACTTTTGAGACGTCTCAAGAGAAGGCTATAGTGTGCGTGCTTGTATCATTCCTGATATGGCGAGGGCTTGTTTCCTCACCAGCCTGGATGGATGCTGACGTGGCTATGGAGGGGGACGACGAGCCGCAGGTGAGAAGAGGTTGGAGAGAAAGCTGAAGTGTGAGTGATGCATGCGCATCCAACAACCCATGAATACAGGATGCGCATCCCGTGGTTTGTGTCTTTAACCTTTATGGGGATGCTGATGATGAGAATGATGAGAATATATACATGGGTTGTTGTATGCGTGAAATGTTGTGGGATATTTTGTGGGATGTCTTGTGGGTTGTTATGTGGGTTGTTATGTGGGTTGTTATGTGGGATCTTGTGACGGTGTATGAGTGTGGGATGCATGTAGGCTGATGTATGTATGTGGCATGCTAATACGTGCATTTGCCGTCATATAAATCTTGTGTCTCTGTAGTTGTTGTGGTTGCTGTCTGTGGGGTACTCTCACGGATTCTGTGAAATGCCAGTGTAATACTACATGCTTCCCTCATGCCCGTGTGATATGTGGAATATGTGGAATATGTGTACTATGTGGAATGTGGAATATGTGGAATATCTCATGTTGGATGGTATATTTTGGTTGCTGTATATCACATTTGAGGTTGAAGTTTTAGTTTCTTAACCCATTTTCACCGTTCCACAACCCTCTGCCCATCCGCCCATCCGCCCATCTGCCCATGTACTCACCCACTCAGACAGTGGCCTCCTTTCTGGCGAGCCTGGGACTCAGCAAGTACACCGACCTGTTCGCGACAGAAGAGGTGATGCTCCGTAGCCACTCATGCTCACATGCACACATACTCATGCACACAGCCACTGCCGCAAAGCCTAACAGACAGTGGCGTCCTTACTTGCAAGCCTAGGACTCTCAGCAAGTATACCGACGTGTTCGCGACAGAAGAGGTGATGCTCCTTCTCTCAAACGGTCCTTGCATTAGTACTGAATCGCACACCCCACCACCTTCTCCCACCCCCCCTCTCCCCTCCCCCTTTTTCTCTTCTTCCCCGTTTTTCATGTTTTGCCAGAAACTAGGCCACAAATTCAGGTAGAAAATATCTCAAAATCCAAATCAGTCTTAGCAAGAAGTTAAGCCAGTATTGAAGGCAGCTTCTACGCGAGAATCCAGATTATAAGTTCAGCCAGAATTAAAGTTAAGAGTTGGCGTCGCTATTTAAGCCATTATGTAAAGTAATGCCTGAGCCAAGTCTCAATCCTCAATCTAAGGCTCAATCTAAGGCTCAATCTAAGGCTCAATCTAAGGCTCAATCTAAGGCTCAATCTAAGGCTCAGTCTAAGGCTCAGTCTAAGGCTCAGTCTAAGGCTCAATCTAAGGCTCAATCTAAGGCTCAATCTAAGGCTCAATCTAAGGCTCAATCTAAGGCTCAATCTAAGGCTCAATCTAAGGCTCAATCTAAGGCTCAATCTAAGGCTCAATCCAAGGCTCAATCCAAGGCTCAATCCAAGGCTCAATCCAAGGCTCAATCTAAGGCTCAATCTAAGGCTCAATCTAAGCCAGAACTAGCCTGCTTCTCGACAGCCTCACTTTCCGTATGACAGCTTGCCAGCTCACATGCCTACGTTTTCACATACCCGCATCGCATGCTTCCATGCTCACTTGCTCACCTCCTTTTTTTGTGCCTCTTGCTCTTCCTATTTGCAGACTCTTTGTTGTTGTCAGATTTCTTTTTCTTCCCTTCCCCCCTCCGTCAGATTGACTTGCAAACTATTCATCGCATGTCGGAAAACGATTTGAAGGAGATCGGCATCCCCATGGTGAGAGCATAGACACACACATGCATGCCCATGGTGAGAGCATAGACACACACATGCATGCCCATGGTGAGAGCATATACACTCACATGCATCCCCATGGTGAGAGCATAGACACTCACATGCATGGCCATGGTGGGAGCACAGACACTCACATGCATTCCCATGGTGGTGAGAGCATGACATTTACACGCATGCCCATGGTGTGAGAGCATGGACACTTACGTGCATGCCCATGGTTAAAGCATGGTCGAGATGCATGCTGAATCGCTGATGGTGAGAGCATGGTATACAGGTGCATGGCCTATGGTAGTCATATTTGTGTGCTCCATTGGTTTGGTTTTTGGTTTTGGCAAACATGGGGAGGTGTCTTTGTAGTTTCTTTTCAGTGTTTTCCTTCCCTGATGTCCGGATGCGTATTCTGACTAGTTTTTTCACAAGGTACAGTGTTCTGCAAATTCGAACGCTTCCATTTGTGCGCTGGTATCCTGTTTGTGCATCTGCTCCCTAAAGTTCTTTCATTCTGCACCCATTGACACATCCAAAATTACTCATCTTGAGTATGAGTGTATATGTTATATTTCCCCATACCACCCCCTATGCTTGCAGGGGCCTCGTAAGAAAATTGTTCAAGCAAATGCGGCTGCTTAGGAAGGAAGTTGACAGAATTAGGCTAAATTGTTATGCAATATGCAAAATCCCCATGCACATGCTAGAATTGTATGTTCGGGCATCTTATGAGAGTCCTTACACCACTACTGGTACAGTATTTCAATGTTTTGCATGGGTGCTGCATGATTGGAAGAGTAAGCTCTGCTGGAACCGCTTTGAAGTGGGAAGGCTTGGCGTTTGTTGTCTGGTGTGACGTGATCTGCCTGCAAAATCTAAATTGCAACTGGCGGATCTGGACGGCTGCTTCTTGCCTCACGCGCAAGGCAGAAACAAAATTTGGTGGACCTCAAAGCAGAGCGGAGCAAAGCAGATTACACAAGCAAACAGAGGGTGGGATGGGAGGAGTGCAGTATGGTGCAAGCACTTGGCGTTTCATAATTGGGACCTGCTTCACATCTCTCGCAACCCACCTGAACCTCCAACTGCCCGGCTTCCGAACCTAAAAAAATTCCGTTGACTTCTGTTGAGTAAATAAGGTTGACAACGTTGAGGTTCTGCCTCTCGCTCACTTTCACCATGTCCTGAAGACTGAAAAACTCACTGAACCCCCATATTCCAGGTGACGGGATTAACGAGCAACCCCAAAAACAGAACAGAACTCTTGTAGATGTAAAAAAAAAAATACACGAAACGCCCCCTCACACTTGAAACTGGTGGTTCCAATTACATCACACCGCTCCTCGTGGCAGAACTGCCCTTCCCAAGGAAGGTGCTGTACTGTACACTGCCCTCATTTAATGTAGGACCAACGAACCACACACAATCCCTCAACGTCAGTCCCGTGTGGGTCTTCGTGTCCGGTCCAGATGCCTGAATCCCTAAAAAACCAGCAGTCACAGTCCCTTCCCTCGCCCAGGTTTCCCGCCAACAGAAGAACATAACAGGGCGCCCCAAGCAAAAAACTGCAACATTTTATGCAGATTTCGAGTGCATCATTGACAATATGTTCTCCATCACTCGCCGTTCCACTTGTTCCCACCGGGACCGTCCTTGGAGTACCTCGATAAAAAAATTACAGGTAACAACAGTTTTATCAATAATGAATGTTGCACTTTCGTCACCCATCGCATGCCACCCCACCAGGTGTCACCTTCGTCCCTCCCTCCCAACAAACTCTCCCTGGTCCCTCTGCCAAAAGTCTGGTCCAGAATTTCTCTGATTAGTCAGGTGGGACTGCAACGGCCACTAGCCGCCGAATATATCTCAGCGGACAAGCGAGTCCGCCCGGGGGAGCTCGCTGCCCGCGGGCAAAAAAAAACCCATTCAATGTCTTGAACTGAGTTGCTCTGAGAGCTGCTTCGCTGGCAATACTCATGATGATTGTGCGAGGGGCATTATTAATGGTGGCCTAAGAACAGCGCAGCGCGTGATAGGACGCGTAGTTTTTGCAGCCAGCCTGGCCGAAGGACGGTGGTCCTTACTTCTGCCTCCTATCCGCGCGTATCTCTGTAACCATGGCCAGTGGTCGTATCTCATAATCTCGGCCGCTTGAGTCGCGACAGGATGGCTGGACGGTTCTCTGAGTTGACACACCTCGCACTCTCAGCTCAGCTCGCCTCAACCGCTGCCACTCGTGACAGCAGTACCGAGGAGCGGGCTTGGGGGAGGGATGGCTCTGGGAGAGAGGACATGAGAAATCTGGTAGCGTGTAGTGCATACAAATATTTCTTCGCGCCCTCTTGAGAAAGCGTCTGATGTCTATTTTGCCAGCGAGTGACCCGCAATCGCAGCGCACATATTAACCTGTTGGTTCCGCCTCCCTCGTCGTCTCGAATGTGGCTGTCCAGCAATAGTATATGTTCTGAATTATCCGGATTTCCACTAATATGAGTGATTCCTCGGTACTCCATTGAGTCTTTTAGCCACCATGTGCAAGCACTCCGCTGCCGAGATGTCGCCACGTCGCAGCCTTTCGCGCTGACGTGGACGACACCACCGCCTCCTACGGCGGCGATGGCGGTGATCGCTGAGGTCGTGGCTTCGTCGTCCGATAATCGCGGGGAATCAAGAGATTTTGCGTCAAAGGGCCGCTTCTCTGCGCCTTTCTGGTTTTCCCAAGAATGTGGTACTACAACTGGCTGCTGCCGCGATTCGCCGCCGGCGGGCGCCGCGGTCCCCCCGCGGACGCCGTTGTCGCCACCGCCGTCGCCGTATCCTCGCGACGTCGCCGCCGCTGCGGCATCCGCGGCTGCTCAAATGTCTAACGACGCGCCATCATGGAACCCTAACATCATTCCCTCCACAGGATGTGTTAGGACTACCCACAGTGCTACGGCTAATAGTACTAAGGCCGGCGGAAGCGGTCGCATGGCTGCTCCCATCAGGCAAGATTGTACTACAGGCGGCCATTCTATTCTTGGTAAACACGGTGGACCGGAATATGCTCGATTCTCGGACCGAGTGCCGTTTTTTGCGGGCATTTCCAATCTGCACGCGCGACATGAGGGAACAACTATCGATCCGGAACAGACGATCCCTTTTGCACGCCGTCTACCTAAAGCCGCCGCCGCCGCCGCCGTTTTTTGGTGCCGCTGCTGCCATCGCTGCTGCGAAATCACCGTCTCCCCCCGGTGGTGGCTTTGCTACGTCCACGTCAGCGGAAAACGCTCTTCAACCACGCGGCGCCAGCGTTGTCATGCACCCAGGAACTACCACTACCACTGCCGAGGAGCAAGTCACCCGCGGCCTGCTCCTAGAGGCGCGGTACCGCCGACGCATGGTGGAGGCCGCAAGGGAGACCGATCTGGAACCTCCGGCTATCACCGCGATGCATCGTGCTGCGGCGTCAGATCTCTTGGCGCAGCGATTCTCGCAGCATTTCGCACAGCAATTCGGTCAGCAATTTGCGAAGCAATTCGCGGAGCAAGAGTCTGCGAGGGATGAGGAGAATCGGCTGCTCCTCCGCTCCTGCGGTGATGATCACAGGTTCGGCAGAAGGCCGGCTGATGAGGCGCAGCAGCAGCAGCAGCAGCAGCTACTGCTGTGGCGCCACCACAGGCTGCAGGCCCTGGCGGCGAGTCAAGGTGGGAAAGGCATTCTCGCAGCACCACCACTGTGCGAGTTGGACTGTGGAGGGGAGGGAGACTTGCCAGGGTCAACCATCCGCATGCCAGTGGCATCACTGCTGGATGAGCAACGGCATGTGGAGGAAGGCGAGTGGCGTTGCGTGCAAGAAGCAGGGCCGCTGAGGGGAACCGATTCGGGCTGTACGAATTGGGTGGGGGCGGATGCGCGGCAGAGAACGTTTGAGAGTTCACGGCTGGAGGAGCGTGGCAGAGAGAAGCAGACGCCATTGGAGAAAGTGCTGCTGCACTCGTGGTTCCAATCAGAGCAGCAACGGGAGGCGGAGCAACAACGGGAGGCGGAGCAACAACGGGAGGCGGAGCAGCAACGGGATGCAGAGCATCAGTTCATGGACCGGAATTGTACGAGAAGGAAGAGGCTGTGCAGAGAGGAGGAGACGCTGTCGGCGCTACTGCTGGCGTCCCACCAGGCAGTCATGCAGCAGCAGAGGGAGCAGCTCGAGCTGCAGTAGAGGCAGAAGCTGTTGCTGGAGCAAAGCCGAGAGTTGGCATGCTCGCTCGCCTCTCAACGACAGCCGTGCGCTGTTGCGGCTCAGATTGTAGCCGAGGGTTTTGCTTGTGAAGAAGTTGTTGCTGCAGGAAGTGAGCCTGTTTTTTTTGGTCCAGGGAAGCACCCTGGAGGTCATGTCAACGACGCTTCCTATACGACTAGCTTTGGGAGGATGAGCCCTCCTTCCCGTCCCCTATTGGATCTTAAAGCCCGAGTCTAGAATGACAAGTGTTCAAGTTCAAGATTCTTGAACATGATTTCGCCAGTGAACAAGGTAACCCGCCTTTCTATGGGGCTCACTCGCGATCCACTGTGGGGGTGTTTGAAGCGCAGTATTATGATTGGCCAAAAGCACAACAGCAAAACCACTGTCGACACTCGCCAGAACAAACAAAAACCGGGGCAACTGTTCACACTTCCGGAAACTTGAAGCTTGAAGCTACCTTTCTAGACTCGTTGAATAGTAGGCTCCGTAGCCCACAATATCGTCCACTACCGATAACTACGCCGAGCACCCAGGATTTTGAAATGAGACTTCCGTCAGTTTGCATAGTATAGGTCTCCACCGTCCCCCACGTAACGCCCATTTCATCGGATCTCTCGCGGTACGTGCACATATATCTCATACACCATCTAATCCGTCGTACCCGCCGCACCCGCTAGTGGCTATCGTCGTTCCCGCTCCTCCCGTCGCCCTCGTCGCGTCTGTCCTAGTCGCCGCGCCCGTCACTCCCGTCCCGGTCGTGCCTTCAGTCCTTCCTCCAGTCCCCCCCGTCCCTGCCGTCGCCCAGCACCCTCCGTCCCTTCCGTCCCGCGCCTCGCTTCCGTCCCGCATTCGCTCCTGCCGTAGCGCGCCTCCCTCCCGTGCCTCCCTTCCCTCTCCGCCGCTCGTCATCCGTCCCTCATTCGCATCTCTCACTCGATAGACTCATGACGAAGCCGCAACCTGGATCGTCTTACCAGGCTCCTCATCACTCACAACAGGGCACAGGACTGGAAACGAAAGCTCTCGCTATAGATAATCTAGAACTTCATATGACGGAATCGAAGCACTTTGCTATTCTTCGCGTCGCTCCAGTAACCAGCGTAGAGTTCCTGCTACCGCGCCGCCGTTCATGGCGCTGTTTTCCCCCTTTCGCACACGCATTTTCCCCCCTTCCGTACGCGCAAGGGTCCCCCTTCCCTACTCGGGGCTTCCCCCTTCCCATCTCGTAGTTCCAACCCTCCAATCCCTCCCCTTACCCAATCTCCCGTCCCTCTGTCCCCCCTCTTCCGTCCCGTCTTTCCTACTTCCATCCATCCCTTTTCCGCCTCTCCCCTCATTCTCTTCCACCTGTCGCTCACGCACACCCATCGCTCCCGACTTCCCCCTTGAGTCCCCCATTCCCTTCCCTCGCCCTCCGCTCACTTCCCTTGCCTCTCGTCTCGTATCCTCCCTTCTCCCTCTGCCCCTACCCTCCCGTCGTGTGCCTGAATTTTCCCTGCCCTCTGTTCCCTTCTCCTCCCTTCCCAATTTTTTCTACACTCCCCTCCCTCTCCCTCCACCACTCCTCTCGCCCGTATCCCCACACACTGAACCCCCCTTCTTCCCTTCCCTGCACAACCTCCTCCCTTCCTTCCCTTCTCTCACTGAACCCCCCTTTTTTCCTTTCTTCTCATTTCCTCTCTTCCCCATCTTCTCCTCTCCTTCCCTCACTCTCAGCCCCTCACTCTTTGCCTCTCCTCCCCTCTCTCTCTGCTGGCCCCTTCGCTCCCGCTCGTTGCTCCGTTGCTCCCTCTCTGCCCCTCTTCCTTGATGAACCCTGCCCCTCAGCAAAAGCCCCTCTCCTCCCTTCCCGGCCTCTACTACGTTTCTGTCCCATCTCCCTCCGCCTCACTTATTTCTTCCTCCCCTGCTCTTCTCATCCCAAACCTCTACCTACTCGTATGTTTTTTCTCTGCCCATGCCTACTCCCCGTTTCGCATCCAGGGTTTTCTCAAATTGCACCCCTGCTTCGTGCCTCGCAGAATGCATGTGCAACACCACCACTCACTTTTTGCGCATGTGAACCGGAAGACTGATAATGCGTGGGGGAGATGGATTACATAAGTTTATTTACATATGTTTACATGATCCAACACTGTCTGATACGCTTGGTTGATGTCAATGAATCACTGATTTCATCGGCAGTGAATCACCTCACCTTTTAGTATATGACGTTACTGTCAGTCAATCACCGGCACAGTACTGTCAGAGGTATTAGTGATACTTTTTTCAAAAACGGAAGTCTTTACAACAGACATAGGTGTTGAAAGAGATTAGTGTATTTCTTGTCAATCACCCTCACAACACTCTCGGGGCTTGCATTGGAACTGTGACGCGTCAGACTCAGTGCATCTCGTTTTGTAAAGTTCAAGATTCTTGAAGTCGAAAATGCTGAAACAGTACGCTGGGTCTCGTTCTGCACCCATCACCCTTCGCCACCCTCGTTAGGCGAACTGAGCACTCCTATCAGTTCGCAAACAGATTTTCAAGTTCAGTAATTATGAAATATTATGACTAAATTACCATTCTAGACTCGGGCTTTAACCTTAGGGCGTGTAAAATCGGCGAGCATTTTGAAAAATTGGGTTTGGCTGGGATTTTGTCGTCCAAATGGTCGACACTTCTTTCGCACATGTCGACCAGATGGCCGAATCAGAGTCGGCCAATAACCGGCCAGTATTTGCAAGTCTGCAAATTTTACAACTTTCCAGAGCGAATTGCTGGCCGACTCCAGGAAGTTGTAAACTTTCAAATGGCCGAATTGTGCGACGGAGTCGCACATGTGCACCCGATATTGGAACGCCACTCCAAGCTCGACCACGGCCTGAACATTGCTACCGCGGCTCCGTTCACACAGGGGTCAGCAACGCATATTTAGCGCATGGGCAAAGACGCAGCGCACCTGAAATTGGTGCGCTGTGCATTTGAGCCTGTCCAAACGTTGTGTACGTGCGGTGGTGACGTGAACGTGGTTTCTGTTTGGCGTCGCATGCGGAGTCTTGCGACACCTGCTGTCAACGTCGCAACGACGGGGCGGGAACGTGGCTGATTTCGAGTCGACTCGATGTTGAAAGCCGAGTCGACCACTTTTACGGCCATCAAATTCGCATGACATTCGCGAAATTTGCGACTTTCGCAACGGAGCTCATTAATTTCGTGAATGTGTTACTTTCGCCAATTCGGCCAGTCGGCTTTGCGGCCGAATATTTGTGTCTGCCGATTTTACACGCCCTTAGCCTCTCGCTGTCGTCCCTGAGCAGTGAAGAGATACCAGACTCAACTGCTTGTTGACGATGCTTCATACATGGAAATAGTGTTTCGGTTACTTAAGTATAGCCAGATAGTGATGAAAGGATTTTATGTTCACTTCAAAGCTGGAATGGGATTGGTCATGTAATCTGACACTTTTTGAGTTCTTGCATGTACTGGTTTGAAGGCTTTGAAGTTGAGACATGTTATAGCAACATCTTATGGTGGAGCACACGCGCTAACGGTACTCAAATTTGGGCGACGCGCGCGAAGTCTTATGCAACAATCAACAGTGGCACACTCCCAAATGCATCAATCCGAATGTGTCTTCATTTTGTTGCAGTGAACTGTGGCTGCTGCTCGCGTGGCACCAGGGTGGCGGGAAATTTTTCATGTGGCGAAATTTTTCGCCGCAATTTCCCCGTCAGCCAAAATCCGAATATGCACAAGGCATCTTGCAAAAATGCCCACTCGCCACCACACCCTTCCTATCTCCAGACAGCAAAACCTACCAATCAAAACCTATCAATCCTCCACCTCAACTCTCCTCCTATCCTCATCATCTTTCTCATCCCATTATCCACCAATCAAACAAAAGATTCCATACCAAGCCTTCCAATCCAAGCCACATTCATTCCACTCACCAAGCCTTAAAATCAAAGCCAAATACATCCCATTCACCAAGCCTTAACTTCAAGGCCACATTCATTCTCTTCACCAAGCCTTCACTTCAAGGCCACATTCATCACCCCCATCTTAACCAACTCAACCAATCACAACCATTCATCATTTCCTCATCCTTCATCCAACATCAAGCTCCACCAAATACAAAAGGGTCCTCTTCATTTCTTCAAACTAATATTCTTCAATGCTACTTCATACCCAAACTCTCAACAAGTTCTTCAAGCTCCCTCAAGGCCAACCTCAAGTCCTCCTCCTTATGCTCCAACTCCTAAGGCTTCATCATCACCACCAACCTCTCCCAACCCAAGCTCATAGCCATATGCTCCAATTCTAGAGAAGTTTGTGCCACATAGTTTTACTTCTAGATCATCAAGGATAGTTGATCTCAAGATCCTACCATGTACCTCCCTTTTGATTAATGTACTTTAAAGCTTCAAGCAAGATTGGTGTATTGTTCTACCCAAGGTCCAAGCTCCAACCTCAACATCCAAGCTTGGAGGTTTCTCTTCATTCAACAAACATTATATACAAGTCAACATTCAAGATCAACTTCTCAACATTCAAGCTTTGAGGTTCTTCATTAACAACTAAGACAACATTTAAGCTTGAAGTGAAGATCAACTTCTACAACATAATAGTAAGAACTCTTTTCAAGTAAGTGGTTATCTCTTCCTCTCATTTTTCACCAAGTTTCTTTTACATCAAAGTTCATTTGCTATTATCGAGTTGTTTTATATTCAAGCTCTTTCCATAATAATCAAGTTCTTATTCTCAAGTTCGTTACAAGCTCGTATCTTTCAAGCCCTTTACCTTTTCTTCAATACTTTCTTTTAAGCCAATCTTGTTTGGTCCCTTTTATCCCTAACAAGTCTATCTATCTTCTCCTTCAAAGCTTTCTTCATTCTTAATTACTCCATACTTCAAGATTTCCTTTCAACTTGTTTTTGCTTTTCAACTTGGTTTTACTTTGATCTTACCTTTTCTTTCTAGGTGTCTTCTTTCTTTCTCCTTACCATTTACCCTCCCTCGTCTATAACTTCAATTTCAAGACATTTGTCGTTGGGAGTGACGGCCAGCAGTGCCTCCGTCGGCAGAAATTCATCGTCCAGCCAATTGAATTGCGCCCGATTGTTGTGGCACGACACCGACGCGCGAACCAAGGCCGACGGAAATAACCTGCCGACGACCTCAAAACAGTCGTGCACCAATCAGCGCAGTCAAACAACCATCACCTCCCCTCGCCTTGGTTACCGCCTCCTCCAAACAGAAGCTGTGCGACCGGTCGCATCACTTGCTCACGTGCAGTTCTCTTTTATCGAATATTCCTTAACCCCTCTCTTGCGACGCTTCAATTTGTCGCATACCCTTCCCCAATTCATGTTTTGGCTGTCGCAACACCACAAATATGTAGAGGAATTCTCCAGGCTTCGCCTGAGCTTTGCTTTGTCAGTCAGTTTCAGCTCCAAAATTATAGCCGTTGAGCTCAGCACCAAGGACAATCTCGCGGACCCTATTTCCAGGAGAGCTCCTATAGGAGCCTCTTGTTTGTTCAACTGATCTAGCAGGCTTCCCCTCCTGCCCAGCATAGCGCGCGAACGACGCCCAGCTTGGGTGCCGGCGAGCATTCCAAGCGCTCTTCGTCGAGCCGCCGAGTTCCTGCCGAGTCAGGAGTAAGCGTTTATAGTTGTTGTTGTGTTTTTTTGTGTGTGTGCTTGTTGCAACTTCGTAATTATCCGTGGCCAAGTTGGAAAATGAGCGAGCTTCACTACTAAGAAAGAGTTATCCATTCCGGCATCGTATGTTGTATAAACGCACTAACTCACCCTTCACATTTATCTCGTCGCCCCCTTTCCTCCGCTCCCCGCCGTCCTTTGCTTCGCCTCCCCTGGCCTCCACCCCTCCCTCCCTTTCTCCTCGTTCTTCCGCCGTCGCGCCGCTGGACCTCTTCCGACTGTCAGCTCGACCGCAGCAAATAAAATGGCGTCCGTTCCCCCTCCGCCTACCGGCGGCGGCGGTGGCGGCGGCGGCGATCGCGCCGTGCAGCCGATGAGCCTGAAGGAGGTTCAGGAGCGCATCGACCAGCTCTACGGCGACCGCAGCGCGAAGAACCTTCGCGAAGGCATCCGAAAAGGCTTTATTTCGGTCGGGAAGGGAGTCTTCGCCGGTGTCGGCGCTCTCGTCGCGGCGCCGATCGCGGGCGCTGCGCAAGAGGGCGGCATCGGATTGGTTAAAGGGACCGTGGCGGGGGTGGCTAGTCTCGTCGTGCTGCCTACTATTGGGGTAGTGCAAGGCGCGCAGCAGCTAGGCCAGGGGATTAAGAACATTCCCGACGCGGTTCGGGAGATGATGAAGAAGGACAAGTGCGAGGAGGAGGCGGAAAAAGGGGAGATTCTAGAAGATTCAGACGCGGATAAGCTTAACGAACAGACGTACTCGCACACGCGCGAAACCGTCGAGAAGATCGCGCTCGAAGCGGAAACAGAGGCGACTGCCACGTCAGCGGCGAAGGCTGCTGCCGACGAAGCAGCCGCCACGTCTGCCGCGGAAGCGGCGGAAGCGACGGCCGCGGCGGAGAAGGGGGAGAAGCGGGAGGTTAAGGACGAGGCGCTGTACCTGGTTCTGGAGGTCGCGACGGACGCCTCGTCCGTGGAGATTAAGAAGGCTTACTACAAGGTGCGTGCTGGTGGAAGGGGGAGGGGGAATGGGGGAGGGAGGAGTTGGAGGGGGAAGGATGGTGGGGAGAAGAGGAGGGGGAAGGATGGTGGGGAGAAGAGGAGGGGGAAGGATGGTGGGGAGAAGAGGAGGGGGAAGGATGGTGGGGAGAAGAGGAGGGGGAAGGATGGTGGGGAGAAGAGGAGGGGGAAGGAAAGGGGGGAGGAAGGGGAAAAGAGGAGGGGGAAGGAGGGGGATAAAAGAGGAGGGGGGAGGAAAAGGGGGGAGAAGAGGAGGGGGGCGGTACTCAATGTTACAAGAACCTCTATTGCAACATCCAACCCCTTGTTCGCCCCTATTGTCTCTCACACTTCGATCCCGCCCCCAGCTAGCCCGTACCTGCCATCCCGACAAGAACCCCGGCGATGAGACCGCCAAGGCCAAATTCCAAGCCGTCGGGGAAGCCTACCAAGTGCTCATGGACCCCGCCAAGCGCGAGCAGTACGACCGCTTCGGCCGCGCTGCTCTAGAAGACACCTTCATGGACCCTGGCTCATTCTTCACTATGGCCTTCGGTGCAGAGCGGTTCAAACCGCTTGTGGGGGAGTTGACAGTGGCGTACACAGCAGCGGGGAATCTGACGGTGGAGGAGGTGAAGCGGTGGCAGGCGCGGCGAGAGAGGGAGCTCGCGGACGGGCTGTTGAAGCGGCTGGGGCTGTGGTTAAAGGGGGATGAGGAGGGGTTTGTGCGGGAGGCTGTGAAGCAGGTGGATGAATTGAAGGGCGAGGCGTTCGGTGTTGCGTTCCTGCACTGTATCGGGTAAGTGTACTGGGGCTGTATTGGGTAGGTTCAAGCCTCTAGTCGGAGAGTTGACTGTGGCGGAATCTGACGGTGGAGGAGGTGAAGAGGCGGCAGGCGCGGAGAGAGAGGGAGCTCGCGGACGGGCTGCTGAAGCGGCTGGGGACGTGGCTGGGAGGGGATGAGGAGGGGTTTGTGCGGGAGGCTGTGAAGCAGGTGGACGAGCTTAAAGGGGGAAGCGTTTGGGGTCGCCTTCTTGCACTGTATCGGGTATGTGAATTTGGGCTGCATTGGGTAGGTGGTTGTTGAGTCGACTCAAAAGGAGGAGGGGTTTGTGAGAGGGGCTGTGAAGCAGGTGGATGAGCTCAAGGGGATCGGCGTTGCCTTCCTGCAGTGCATCGGGTATGCGTAGTGGGACTGTTGTTACTTGGTGTTTGTGTGGCTGTGGCTGGCGGAGGATGTGGAGGGGTTTGTGCGCGAGGCTGTGAAGCATCCTGGCATCCTGGCATACTCACTTGGGGTTTCTAACGCGTTATCCTTTCCATCAACTCCCCATCTCCCCCCCCCCCCACCCCACCCTCTCCCCCCTTCGACAGCTACACGTACTACTCGTGTGCGCAGGTGCTGCTGCCTAACAGAGGTGCTCGGCATCCCGGGCTTGTGAACGCACCTCTGCCTTCCCTCTTAGCATGCTCTTCCTTTCCCTGCTCTCAATCCCCTCCTCCTCCACCCCTACCCCCCCCTTCCATCAGCTACACATACTAATCACGGGCGTAGGTGCTTCTAGGCCTCACAGAGATGCCCAACGTCCCGGGCCTTGTGAACGCACCTCTCTCTGCCTTTCTTATTAACGCACCGCTCTTCCTTTCCCTGCTCCCTATCCCCCCTCTTTCCCACCATCAGCTACACATACTACTCGCGAGCACAGGTGCTCCTGGGCCTCACAGAGTTGCTCGGTATTCCGGGCTTTGTGAACGCAGTGAAGGAGTCGGGGCACACCATGAAGACCCGGTACAATGCTGTCGATGCGGCATTGAAGTAAGTATTCTACTAGGAGTCAGACACATGACTTACTTTAGTGAACGCATTCAAAGAGTCTGGACGATGAAGATTCGGTACAATGCTGTGGATGCGGCACTGAAGTGAATCTCTATGTTGGAGCTATGAGTAGGCTCTTCCGTAAGACTCGGTATGGCGCTGTCGACGCAGCGCTTAAGTGAGCGAAATGCCTAAGTGAGTCTTTTACACGGAGTCAGAGCAGGGAGGAATCAAGGAACATCATGAAAGGGCTCGGTGCAACGCTGTTGACGCGTCACTTTAATGAAGGGTTTCGAGGAACCACTTCCCGCACCCCTTTTCTGAGGTGAAAGTGAACGCGGACCCTCAGAAGCTGTATGCTCTTCTGCCCCAAGCAGGCAGGAGCACAAAAGGGGGCAGGAGATTCATGTTTTGAGACGTCTCAAGTTTTGTTTTGAGACGTCTCAAGTTTTGTTTTGAGACGTCTCAAAGGGGGCAGGAGATTCATGTTCTGCCGACTCTTCTGCTGCTCCCGATCATCCCACAGGCTCTTCATCTCTTTTCAGAGATGAAGATCAACATGGACCCTCAGAAGCCTTTCTTCTGGGTGATTGCCTTTCTTCTAAACCCACTCCTCCCTCATCTCTCCTGTTTCTCCTGCCCTTGCCCGAATCGCCCCACAGGCTATCGGAGATGAAGGTCAACATGGAGCCAGCCAGCACCATTAACGGTTCCGGGTGATTGCGCTTCCTCTAATCCCACTCCTCCCTCGCCTCTCCCGTTTCTCCTCCACCTCCCGCTCGCCCCACAGGCTATCAGAGATGAAGGTCAACATGGACCCTCAGAAGCCCCAGTTCCATAGTTTCTAAAGCGCCCATATCTCCGAGACAAAAGTCGAAACGGACCTTTTTTTAGCCGCCCAGTGAGCAACCTTCATGGTTCTTCCCCCCGCGCTTTTTGTTCCCCAACCCTCATATTATATTACTCCCGCTCACCCCATAGGCTATCGGAGATTAAGGCCAGCATGGACCCTCAAAAGCCCGCCAGTGGGGTCACCATTTACACTTCTTCCCCGCCTGCTTTTCTTCCTCCAACTCTCCCCCTATCCTTCATCCCTCCCCGTTCACCCCACAGGCTATCAGAGACGAAGGTCAACATGGACCCTCAGAAGCCAGCCAGCGAGCAAGGAGCACCATTCATGGTTCCTCCCCATGTTCTCTTCTTCCCCCAATCCTCCCACCCCTCGCCCCTTCCCTTTCTCGCTAAATCCACAGGCTATCGGAGATGAAGGTGAACATGGACCCTCAGAAGCCCGCTAGCGAGCAGCCAAACATGCCCGAGTTCCCAAACTCTGTCTGGATGGTCAGTGCTTTTTCCTTGTTTCGTTGTTCTATTTTTCCAGTGTTCAGTTCTCTATTCGTTGGGATATGTCACACACGATGTGTTCCAAGTTCATTATATGAAAATGTTCCACTATAGAGTGCATTCTTCCCTTTCCTCCTCCCACTCATCTCTCTATATACCCCACCCCATCCCTCCTTTTACCTTGCAGATAAGCGTGCTGGACATAGAGAGTACACTGCGGAATGTGGTGGAGCTTGTAGTGAAAGACAAGACAGCTTCAAAGGAGGAGAGAAAGAAGAGGGCCAGCGGCATCATGAGACTGGGGAAGATCTTCCAAGGGGTGTGAGAGGAAAGGGGTGTGAGAAGAAAGGGGTGTGAGAGGAAAGGGGTGTGAGAGGAAGGGGTGTGAGAGGAAAGGGGTGTGAGAGGAAAGGGGTGTGAGAGGAAGGGGTGTGAGAGGAAGGGGTCTGAGAGGAAGGGGTGTGAGAGGAACAGAAGGGGATTCATTCATGGTGGTAGCGGTACTCCACCAGTCCACCGCACCAATAAGTGGCCTCAGCCTACATGGTTAGGCAGGCCGCAGGAGATGCTTTCTAGTAGGTTCCTCCCAGGAACCATCCTACGAGTATCAAGGCAGCAGACAAGGAGCAAAAGGGTGCCTGATTGCCCAAGAAGCAGAGATGGGCATGTGGGGCTGGGACCTGGGAGCTTGCAGAGCAGCGCTGAGATAATTGTTAAGGCGCCTTAGAAAGGGAACAGCAGCGCCTTAAATAATGCCCTGACGAAGTGCAGCGATGGTTTAGTAGTAGTACCTTATCCATTTTTTTTTGCGCTTAAAAAATCGCCTCGGTGCATGCAGGGCAGAGCTGGTATAATTTTTTAAGCACCTTAAAAATGCCCTGACTATCTCCCTTGGCAGCGATGGTTGAGTATTTGGATTGGGGCTGGCAGCTTGGCATGCCTTCATTTCTGATGTCTTTGCTTAGGTGTGTTCAGGAAGGGTGAGGGTGTTCAATCACTCGAGTACACTGGCTTGAGCCTGTAATACTGAGTGCTGTTACATTCTTACTGGTATACTCCTGTTTGAGAAGCCTCGTTTGACCCACAACACCACACCAGCACCGAGCATGGAAATTTGTGCCCATAAAACCACCTCAAAACTCTCTTCTTGATCAGTCTTGACCATTCTTGACCACTGGTGACCGCTCTTAACCGCTCTTGATCATTATTGATAACTATTGACGACAGAAGCGAGGTGTAACCCATTGAGTGTTCCGTTAGTGTGCCTCCTCGTCTTCCCCCGGGCACATGCTTACAAGGGCGTCTTCACTCTCATACTGCAACCAGCAGAGGGTTGGAGGGGGGCGGGCGGGGAGGGTGGGGAGGGAGGGGGGGAGGTGGTGGATTGAGTGTGCCTCCTCTTCAGTGTGCCTCCTCGTCTTCTCCCGGCCACATGCTTGTAAGGGCGTCTTCACTCTCGTACTGCACACAGCAGCAGAGGGGTGGGGTGGAAGATGAGGTAGGAGGGGGGAGGTGGGGAGAGGAGGGGGAACGGGGAGGAGGAGAGGGAGGGAACTTGACAGTCCATATTGTGCAAGTCTGAGCAATCGCATCAGATCGCATCAGATCGCACCAGAGTAGTAACGTGTGAGCAAGAGCCTCCAAGAACTCAAGTGCAAACAAGATGCAGGATGGGACGGGTGAAACAGCACGATGGAAAGACCAACACGCGAATTCCTGATTGCAGACTAAAACACTCGCATGAATTCACCTCACAGCAACAGAGCACCCACCTGAAAGCAACAGAGCAGCCACCTGGCAGCCACAGAGCACCCACCTGGCAGCAAGAGAGCACTCACCTGACAGCCACAGTGTATGCAGTAGAAATGCTTGTGGCGCAGGCGCTGCAGTGCGAGCAGCAGAAGCTGTGAGGGATGGCACAGGAAGGGAGGAGAGCAGGAGATGGGAGGGAGGAGGGAGAAAGAAGGTAAGGATGTGGGTGAAGTCACATCACAGTGTGCGCAGTAGAAATGCGTGTGCCGCAGCTGATGCAGTGCGAGCAGGAGAAGCTGTGAGGGACGGCAGGGAGGCGGGAGGACAATACACAGATGAACTGTTAAGTTGCAAGCGCGGCTGCAAAATCAAGATCACAGTGTACGTTTTAGAAGTGCTTCTGTCGCAACCGCTGCAGCACAATCAGGAGAAGCTGTGAGGGATGGAGAAAGGGGGGAGATCAGGAATTGGCAGGGATGAGGGCGAAAGAAGGAAGGATGAGGATAAAGTCAAATCACAGTGCATGCAGTAGAAATGCTTCCGTTGCAGGCCATGCAGTCCAGGCAGGAGAAGCTGTGATGGATTGCGGCGAGAAGGAGAGTGGCACACAGATGGACCCATGAGTTACCACCATGTGAGCCTGTGCATAATCAGCTCTGAGAGATCTTCCGAGCGCAAGTGCAGAGCCACCTTTGAGTTAGCTCACTAGTGTCACGCAATGATGACACCACTCTTCAGATACGATGTCCTCCAAAAGCACCTCCCCCGCCTCCCATGTTGGAGCCACTTCTTAGAGTTAAAAAATATATATATATATATATATATATATATATATTTAATAATAATAATAAGACTCGCTAGTGTCACGCAATGATGACCCACCTCTTCAGATACGATGTCATCTAGAGGCACCTCCCCCGCCTCCCCTCCCTCTCCCCCCTCCCCATTCTCCTCGCCTCCTGCCACCTCTCCCCTTCTCTCCTCCACCTCCTCCCACTCCTCATCACTCACACCATCAGCATCACACTCCGTGACTATACGTTTCTTCCTCACTCTCCTCCTCCTGTCTCTCCCCCTCTCCACACCAGCCCCACTCTCCATACCACCAGCACCACCACACATAGTAGCACCACCACCACCACCACCCCTGCCACGACCAGCATCACCAGCCCGATCCAACTGAGCACCACCAGAAGGAGCAGCAGGAGCAGAAGCACCAGAGGAGGAAGAAGAAGAAGAAGCAGCGCCTATCCGCACAGCCTGCCTCCTAAGCCACTCCTCTCCGCCTTCCAGATGCACCAAAGCCGTTCTCGCCTTCCTCAACGCCCCCCTCACCTTCCAGTCGCTCCACCTCCCCTTCCTCCGCTCCTCAAACTCTCCTCTCAACGCCTCCTCCCCTCTCCGCCTCACCCGCGCTGCTGCCTCTGCTCGCAGCAGCTTCTGCCTCTCCACCTCCTCCTCCTCCTCTTCCCTCCCCAGTCCCTTCCTGTCCCGTTTTAAGCTCAACGCGACGGGTTCGACCCACACGAGGGGTTTTCGGCTGGGCGTGGGTGCAGGTACTGACTCTTCTCGGTTGTCCTCGATACTAGCTTCCCTCGTATTCGCTGCAGGTCGCTCGCCACTGCAGTATTCCCCAGCGCGGCCTTCGTGCAACCAGCTGCTGCCAAGCTTGGACCTTAACGCCCTCTCTCTCTCCCCTGCCGCCTCTTCCCTCGCAGACTCTGCTTTCACCCTCTCTCCGCCTTTCTCTCTCCCCCCCGTCACCCCACTCTCGTCCCCCTCCCTCGCCCCTTCCCCTCTATGTCTCTCCCCCGCAGTTTCCGCCATCCCAATCCTCCCCGCGCTCGGAAACCCCGCCTTTCCGCCCATCTGCTGCGCCGCAGGAGGGCCCTTAAAGCCCATCTTCTGAAGCAGTTTAAAGCCGATGTTGGTAGGCGGTATGGGCGCCGCGAGGCCTTCCGCGAGAACCGCCGCCTCGGCCTTGTCTTTCTCCGCGCGTGCCTGCTGCCGCCGCTCCTGCCACGTCAGCATCTTCCAATCGTCTGGCCGCTGACGTGGCGCAGGCTTGGCCGGCTTCTTCTGCCGTTGCTGCCGCTGCTGCTGCTGATCGCGAAGGTTCGACGCATCTTCTGGCGGCAAGAAGGCCGAGAGATCGCCCATGTAATCGTTCCCGTCATCGTCGCCGCCAGGCGCGGCTGCCGCCATGGATCTACGTACGCGATAAAGAGCGGATCTTACTAAGAAGCAAAATCGAATGCCACTTTTAAATCGAGCGGAAAGTCGCCCGGTTCTTGCGTCCTCGATCAGAACGACGCAATTCTGATTTGATATCTTTCTGTTTGGCTTCTCAACAAGCGTAGCCGATATTCTGTTATTGATTCTCAGTTTGCATAGTCGGGGATGTGCGGCTGGATGGAAGAAGCGAATGACTACGGCACACTGAACCGAAGTGCATGCAAGTGGCTCAAACATTGCTTTCAAAGGGGTAATTACCTTCCGGGTAACCAACATCAAGCCCGCTGACGTACGCAGTCCGCCACGTGGCTCGATGGTACCCATCAGATTATCCGATCTCCCCTGTGGTACCCGTCATTTCCCCGGTGGTACACATTATCCCTCCGTGGTACCTATCAACTCTCCACAGATTTCCCAACTGGTAACCAAACATTTCAACCGCAATGTACACCGTACGCACCGCGTATCAACAGATTTGAACGTGTCTTCTACCTGACGAAGTGCAACCCTAGAAATCTCTCAACCCCCCTTCTCATTTCCTCGCGTTACCTCCCAAACCTCGTAAGCTCACCTTACTCGCATAGTTAGCGGAAATTTCGCGACCATGCTTAGCAGCAATCCTTACAGGTATGTCCTCGACCAATCATAAGTAAACGTAGTCACTGTTATATGCCTGATTTCACGTGTAAACCAGTGTGACGCTTCAAAAGGCCTGCATGGCGCAGCCATGAATGCGCCATGCATTGACACGGAGCAGAATAGTGTCTGCGCCATGCATTGGCATGGCGCTACATAATTTGCTGCGCCATGCATTGGATTGCATAAGGCAGCCGCGATTGCGCCATGCATTGGCATGGCGCTTCACACGGGCTGCGCCATGCAGCCATTGCATGGCGCAGCGTCGAATGCGCCATGCAGCCAATGCATGGCGCAGCCTCGATTGCGCCATGCATTGGCATGGCGCAGAATAATGGCTGCGCCATGCAGCCAATGCATGGCGCAGCCTCGATTGCGCCATGCATTGGCATGGCGCAGAATAATGGCTGCGCCATGCAGCCATTGCATGGCGCAGCGTCGATTGCGCCATGCAGCCAATGCATGGCGCAGCCTCGATTGCGCCATGCATTGGCATGGCGCACTGCATGGCGCAGCGTCGATTGCGCCATGCAGCCAATGCATGGCGCAGCCTCGATTGCGCCATGCATTGGCATGGCGCACTGCATGGCGCAGCGTCGATTGCGCCATGCAGCCAATGCATGGCGCAGCCTCGATTGCGCCATGCATTGGCATGGCGCAGAATAATGGCTGCGCCATGCAGCCATTGCATGGCGCAGCGTCGAATGCGCCATGCAGCCAATGCATGGCGCAGCCTCGATTGCGCCATGCATTGGCATGGCGCAGAATAATGGCTGCGCCATGCAGCCATTGCATGGCGCAGCGTCGAATGCGCCATGCAGCCAATGCATGGCGCAGCCTCGATTGCGCCATGCATTGGCATGGCGCAGAATAATGGCTGCGCCATGCAGCCATTGCATGGCGCAGCGTCGAATGCGCCATGCAGCCAATGCATGGCGCAGCCTCGATTGCGCCATGCATTGGCTGCATGGCCGCAGGGCGCTTGATAAGGGCTGCGCCATGCAGCCCATGCATGGTGCAGCCACGATTGTGCCATGCATTGGCATGGCGCTTCACACGGGCTGCGCCATGCAGCCAATGCATCAACTGTTTCTTCTATTTGTTCCCTTTACTTGGTGCAATCATGTACTTAGATCTCAACCATATATTCTCTTTGTTTCCATGTACTATCCTGACAGTGTGTTATTGCAGAATGAGGGTGAGGTCAACCTTTCAAAGGGACGTGTTTTTCGCAACGTCGTGGAGGCGCGTAAGGATATTCGAAAGTATGCCCGACAGCAAAGGTTCGAACCTTTTTTTCGTTATAATAGAGCTACTTGTGTGGATGTGCGTTGTTGGGCTATGAAGGGAGTTTCATGGCCTGCTCAAGGTGTGGCAGCTCCTGAGGGGTTTTGTCCTTTTCGTATTTATGCGCGGGGGCCTAGGAAGGGGATGATGGAGATTAGGGAGGTTCATCTTGAGCATGCGGATCTTTGTGCCGTGTGTCCTGCAAGGATCACCATAGAAGAGGTCAAAGACATTGCTCGTGTATTTGTCACGCATGGCACTATGAAGCCTCTTGACTTGAAGGATAAGGTGAAGGAGGTTTTGGGCGTGTCATGTTCTTACAACACCGCACATCGTGCTTTGGCCCAGTTGGCGGAGGAAGATGTTCTGGCTGGGGATGCGGGGTTTGAATATTTTGAGAGTCTGTTGTCCATATTCAAAGAGTTGAACCCCTCAGCGCGTGTGTCAATGGAGAAGGACGGAGATAAATTTTTCCGTGCTGGCTTGGTTTTCCCTGGTGCTCGCTCAGCAGTGTTGAATTGTCTGCCAATTGTGTTTGCTGATGGTTGTCACAACATGACGAGGTGGCGTGGCCAGACTCTGAATTTGTGTGCGCTTGATTGTGAGCACAAGATTGTGAACTTGGGGATGGCATGGGTTGAGGGAGAGACGACAGCAGCTTGCAGCTTCATTTTTAAACTGTTATTGGAAGCCGTGCCTGAGTTAAACACTCCAGATTTTATTGTCATGCATGATCGGGGAAAGGGATGGGCAGCTGCCGCACGCGAGGTTTTCCCGAACACAAGGGAAGCCTTCTGTGTTACTCACTTGGTTCGTAACTTCAATTCGAAGTTCGGGTCGACCCTGGATGGGAAGATTGAGTCTGCCGCAAGTGCCTTGACTGCTGAAGTGTTTGCGCTGTTTTTGGAGAAGATAGAAAAGGAGTGTCCAGGGGGGGTTGAATACTTGACAAAGGAAGGGCTGTCTGCAAAATGGGCCACCACTAGATTTGGGGCTGCACGTTTTGGCTGTTACTCGTCAAACCCAGTCGAGTCTATGAATGCTACCCTAAAAGGGTTGAGGAGGAAGAGTCCCGCGCAGGTGCTGCTGGCTGTGATAGGTAGAGAAGCAGTTTCTACATTCAAGCGGAATAAAGAGTACGAGGAGATGGCGGATGAGCAGTTGCCCGCCAACATTGTCCGTATCATTCGTGAGAATGCTAGGTGTGGTATGTCCTACACGGCAGAGCAAACCGGAGAGATTGCTATCACGCAGCCCGGAGGGTCAAGGGTGGAGCAAACTTATAAGGTGACTCGAAGGACTGGAAGGGAGACACGCCGGGTCACCACGGATGTCAACAACCCGGAGTCAAGCTCATGCTCCTGCGGGTACACAAGGTGTGGATTGTGTGCTTGCTCAATTTATTGCTGCTGTCCCTTCTGCTGACCATGCTACCACCCCCACCTCCTGCTTACCTCCCAGCGCCTTTTGTGGCTCAATCATTTCCCTCTGCGTCTACGGCTGCTGCTCTTTCCTTTACCTTGCTTCAGCTGCACCTTCTGCTACTCCCTACTTCCCCCACTCCCTCTGCTGCTGATGCACCCGAAGTCCCCCCCCCCCCCCCCCCCCCCCCCTACTGCTGCTCCAGCTGTGGTTGTCCTTGCTGTCTGTGCTGCTACTGATGTTCCTAGGCTGGGCTAATGCTGTCCATGGGTCCCCACTCCCCCTGCTGCTTCTGTTGCTTCTCTCCTTGTTGCATACTGTTGAATACAATGTATGAAATGACCATTTCACCCCAATGCTTCCTCTTGTGCCCCTTTACATCCCACCTGTGTGTAGGGAATATGGACTTCCGTGTGTCCACATTTTTGCAGTTTACAGTGGCACGCCAGAGAAAGCTCATAGGGTGATAAAACGCTACTACAGAGTGGAATCTCTTAAAAAGGTGTACAGTACGCCTATCGTGCCACTCGACCCTACGGAGGTGGTTCGCGATAGGACGATCCAACCTCCTGTGTATCCTAAGAGGGCCGGACGTCCACCTTCGAAACGCCTTAGAAGCTCTGGTGAGGTGGATGGTGAAAAAATGCGCAAGTGTGGCAAGTGCGGGGAGAAAGGACATAACGTACGTACATGTGAGTTGCGGGCTAGTCAAAGAGTGGCATGGGAAGAGAGACAGACACCGCAAGCTCATGTTGAGATGCAAACATCTACAATTGCTATGGCTGAAGTGAGCGTTGCAGAGTGCGACGCTTGTGGGGCACTCCACCGTGAAGGTATTCGGTGTGAAGCTGTACGGAGGATGGAAGCTCGTGCTAGGAAATGCCCAGGTGGTGGTGAGGGGGGCGCGGGGACAGAAGTAGGAGATTTAACCGATGAAGAAACAGATTATTCCTACTCGACAGATGCGTCCGAGGAAATTGACGGTGAGCAAGTGGAAGTGGGGCAAGGGCGGCAGAACCATGAACAGCAAGGGTCGGATGGGGAGGAGGCAGATGTAGCCATGGGGAGGGAGGAAGCAACCGAACCAGAAGGGGGGGGAGAACAACATCAAGGGCAAGGGGGGAGGCGGTCAAACCGGCCGCAGAGGGGGAGGCGGCAGCAACATGGAGGGAGGCAGCAGCGGCAACGGGGAGGGGGGCAGCAGCAACAGCAGCAGCAGGGGCAGGAGCAGCAGGGGCAGCAGCAGCAGGGACAGCAGGGGCAGCAGCAGCAGGGACAGCAGCAGCAGGGGCAGCAGCAGCAGGGGCAGCAGCAGCAGGGGCAGCAGCAGCAGCAGCAGCAGGGACAGCAGCAGCAGGGACAGCAGCAGCAGCAGCAGCAGGGGCAGGAGCAGCAGGGGCAGCAGCAGCAGGGACAGCAGGGGCAGCAGCAGCAGGGGCAGGAGCAGCAGGGGCAGCAGCAGCAGGGACAGCAGGGGCAGCAGCAGCAGGGACAGCAGCAGCAGGGACAGCAGCAGCAGGGGCAGCAGCAGCAGCAGCAGCTGGGGCAGCAGCAGCAGCGCCAGCAGCAGCAGGGGCAGCAGCAGCAGGGACAGCAGCAGCAGCAGCAGCAGGGGCAGGAGCAGCAGGGGCAGCAGCAGCAGGGACAGCAGGGGCAGCAGCAGCAAGGGCAGCAGCAGCAGGGACAGCAGCAGAGCAGCAGGGGCAGGAGCAGCAGGGGCAGCAGCAGCAGGGACAGCAGGGGCAGCAGCAGCAGGGGCAGGAGCAGCAGGGGCAGCAGCAGCAGGGACAGCAGGGGCAGCAGCAGCAGGGACAGCAGCAGCAGGGACAGCAGCAGCAGGGGCAGCAGCAGCTGGGGCAGCAGCAGCTGGGGCAGCAGCAGCAGGGACGGCAGCAGCGGGGACGGCAGCAGCAGGGACGGCAGCAGCAGGGACAGCAGCAACAGCAACAGCAGGGGCAGCAGGGGCAGCAGGGGCGGCAGGAGGAACAGCAGCACCAGCAACAGCAGGGGCAGCAGCAAGGACGGGAGCAGCAGACGCTGGGAGATAGGCAGCAGCGGCAGCGGCAACAAGGGCGACGGCAGCAGCCCCAACAGCGTCAGCAGCACTCGGAGCAGCAGCTGGGACAGCGGCAGCAGCACCAGCCAAACACAGTCGGCCCAAGAGATACGGCAGAGATTGTCCGGATCCGTTTGAGGAAAGTGTCCCGCATTAGTCTACAACGCCAAATACCAGATTTGGAAGAAGCTGAAAGGGAAGCTTCACCTCAAGACACGAATGTAGGGCCATCACATAGAAATCGGCGGCAAGGAACTCGACAGGTAGGGCAGCAGGAAGGGCTGCATCAGGAAGGTCAGCAACTGGGAGGAGTGCAACAGAGACCGCGGCAACAAAGAGGACAGCGACCGAGAGGGCAGCAACAGACAAGAGAGCAGCTGGGGCAGCAGCAGGTGGGGCAGCAGCACTCAGGGCAGCAGAACGCAGGGCAGCAGCACACAGGGCAGCAGAACGCAGGGCAGCAGCACACAGGGCAGCAGAACGCAGGGCAGCAGCACACAGGGCAGCAGAACGCAGGGCAGCAGCACACAGGGCAGCAGAACGCAAGGCAGCAGCACACAGGGCAGCATAACGCAGGGCAGCAGCACACAGGGCAGCAGAACGCAGGGCAGCAGCACACAGGGCAGCAGAACGCAGGGCAGCAGCACACAGGGCAGCAGAACGCAGGGCAGCAGCACACAGGGCAGCAGAACGCAAGGCAGCAGCACACAGGGCAGCATAACGCAGGGCAGCAGCACACAGGGCAGCAGAACGCAGGGCAGCAGCACACAGGGCAGCAGAACGCAGGGCAGCAGCACATTTGGCTGCAGCAGTCAGGGCAGCAGCAAGAGGGACAACAGTGGCAGGAAATCCGCGTTCCTATGTCACACCCGAGGAGCGCCACATATTATTCAACAAATGTAATGGATAGAGGGGTTGCAGCACAGCAACAAGGGTTGTATTGGCAATACCCTTGGATGGTGCCTATGCACTCAAACATGATCCATCAATGGCCTTCGTACGGAAGATCAATCTACCCTACACAGCAGCAAGGGGATGGTGAAACCTATGCGACAGGTGCTGCTGGTGGACGTATTGCAACCACAAACTCGGCAGAGCAGGGCGAACAACATGAGCAGCACCACTGTTGAACTCGGCATGTTTGAGTGGACTGTGTTCTTATTAGTGATTTTACTTAGTGAATGAACACGGGTAGTGAATGTAGTGGTGATGCTAGTAGCTAAAGAGACAGTGAAATGTGTGGACGCCAAAACCTGCTCGTAGTTGTTTGCCTGTCCGTTCGTTTGTAGGCAGGTACATGGAACGAGAGTACGATATATGCGATGGGGATTTACGCTTCATGTCACTCCATCTGGGTGCTACATGCTCATTTTTCGCTCATGCTGGGGTGATGAGATGATGTATTGTAGTTTTAGTGAAGATATTGTTGCGCCAGGTTTAAGTGTGGTGCAGTTTAAAACATTTTACAGTACAAGAAAAAAGAATGTGCATGCTGTGTCTCTTTGTCGCACCGACTCATACTATTGCATTGTCTATAAAAATGAGAATACCAGAACCATGCCGTTAAGTTTAAAACAAATGATGTACAAAATAGTGCTAGTTTACAGAAGACGCTGCACTCCCATAATATGGCCTCAACACCTATGTAATTGACTTGGCCAAAGTGTCCCGGTAATAATATGAGCAATTTTAGAACGAGATCAGGGAGTGATGAAGGGCAATGCTAAAGCGATCCGTGCATAAAACATACCGCATTATCATAATTTTAACTGATTTCTCTGTACCTTCTTCCAAGTGTAGTAACTTTTGATAGCCGAAAATGACGTTAATATGTCTTAAAGTAAACATACTTTTATGGGTCCTTTATGTGCAATTAATGTTCGGATTATAAGGGAGTAATTAAACATTCAGGCAAGGTTAGTAAGAAGGAAACTCACTCTGGCCTAAATGGTGATGTTTTTGCTGACTCGTCATGCGTACGGTGTACATTGCGGTTGAAATGTTTGGTTACCAGTTGGGAAATCTGTGGAGAGTTGATAGGTACCACGGAGGGATAATGTGTACCACCGGGGAAATGACGGGTACCACAGGGGAGATCGGTCAATCTGATGGGTACCATCGAGCCACGTGGCGGACTGCGTACGTCAGCGGGCTCGATGTTGGTTACCCGGAAGGTAATTACCCCTTTCAAAGTGGAGTAGTTTGCTCTGATGGGCCCAACAACTAGGTACAGCAGCAAAAATGACCCAAAAAACACTTCAAAACATAAGCTGCTGCAACTTGTATTCTTTGGTTGACCATACTGTACGTCCTTCGGGACATCCGTTAAAATTGGAACGATACAGAGAAGATTAGCATGGCCCCTGCGCAAGGATGACACGCACAAATCGAGAAATGGTCCAATTTTTTTCGGCGATCTGACGGAGCACGTCGACCAGTCACAACACACCTTCCTCCCCCCAACATTTCCCATCCCAACCTGCATGCCTTGGGAATCTCGAGGAATTCGAGAGAATTCAGCAGGACTTCAAGCTTCCGCTATTTCATGCGTGTGCCATGTTTGCCAAAAACGACTCCTGCAAGCCTTTCTTGAGCACACACCTGGTTCTCCTCGCGTACGCAACAGCCCTCCCACCTAGTTCCCAGCCTTGCTTCTGCCACATTCACACGCGACTTCTCTATGTCCGCTGCGCTAGTTCCCAGTGCTTTATTCAGCCGCTCTGTCATTTGCTTCTCAAGGAGCAGTAGGCTGATCGGCTGTAACGTACAATCATCCCGCTGTTTCACCCGCACACCTTTCATCCGGCGCTCATCTATTCCATTCCCTGGTCGACGCGGCTCGAAACCTCCCCTTCCCGCTGCTCGCCGGCCATTTTCAAATCCCACCACCGTCGCCATGTATCAAAATCCGAATCAATCCGCGAATCCGAATTCACCCAACTCATTTCGACAAAATCAGGATCTTCCAGAGTTCCCCAACCCGTTCGACAATGCCGGCGATTTCGAGCTCGGCTTTCCCGTGCGAAGCCTTAAAGAGCTGTTGCTGTGCCGCGTCATGGGTCAGATTCGGGAGAAGCCGGACTGGATGCGGAAGGTGACGGACGACGAGATCGTCAAGAGATGGAAGGCGGAGTTGACGGAGAAGGCAGCGGACGTCCATCCTGACGGTTTCATCGACGCCAGTAAGGAGTACTGGAGTGCGGAGGAAGCTTCGGCCGTGCTTTCGTTCCTGAGGGAGACCACAACGCGGCCTGTCAAGGTGATCATCGGACGTGAGTGAGCCTTCCGTGTCTCCAAAAACCGCTTTCAAGAAATAATAGCAAATCAAATTCTTCAGCTTTTGTTTTCTCGTTTTCTTTTTGTGTAGGGGATAGCAGTGCTCCAGCTGTAGAATCTTCGCTCTCTGAACTCAGCCTATAAGCTTTTCCACTCTCTGTCTCTCCATCCTTGAGTTTCTGCATTGCCCTTCTTCTGATCCCTCACTCTCTCTCACCTCTCTCCCTATCTCTTTCCCTCTCCTTGTCTCTCCCTTCCCCTCCCAGATCGACCCTGCTCTCTTCGCCTACGCAATCTCTGAGCTACGCTGGCTCGCCTCCTCCCTCTCCTCCTCCTCCTCCTCCTTCTCCCCTCCCTCTTCTCCACTCTCCTCTCTGTCCCTCCACGGCAATCCCAAGGTCCTCCCCTCCGCAGTCTCCCCGGACCCCCCACTCGACCCCTCACTCAAGCAACTGTTTCTAGACGGAATCACCACGCTAGAATCAGTTCCCGAGGATCAAATCGACTACCATCCAGGCTCAAATCACCAAGTAGTCGATCTCATTCACCCCAGCCTGCATTGCCTGGTCTTTGATCGCACTAGAGTCATCCAGGATCCGCCCAACGACCTTCAGATTCTTCCCTGGGATGAGCTGGTTAGCAGCTTGGGAGAGGTGGCTCGGCCTATGCCGCCCGGCCAGCCAACCCGACCGGTGTTTTACCCGACCGGGAATCATTCGTACCTCTCGGAAAAGTTTCATTGGCTGCCCGCGGAAGTGGATGCTACAGCTGACGGGCAGAGTGCGAAGTTTCGGTCGTATATTAATAACCTGCACCCGCATGAGTTTGCTGGGATGTATCGGGGATTGGAGCATATTTTTGGCAGTGCGTTTGTGCCGTTGTTTAACAAAGTGCTGACGGAAGCGGTTCAGCATCGACGAGAGCGATTCGACTACGATATTTACAGGTAAGCTCATTGAGCTTTTGTGCCCCCTCCCCCCCTTCTTTTGTTGCCTTCAAGGTGGAACATGTATGTTTGCCATGGTGGTGTATTATCTTTGGGTCGTCAGGACTAGTTGTTTTTGTACATCAATATGTTTTATCTCCGATGCACTCTTTCAATGTACACCTACCTTTTGCTTTGCCATGCTGCAGGTGATATGATCAGTGCAAGGGCGAGAGGGAGTATGACAAGCAAGACGGCGACAACTACCGACAGTGGCTGGTGGGCCAGCAGCGAAAGCCCTGCTCCAAGTCTCTCTATTGCAATTGTTCCTCTATCCATTACCTTCTCCCTCCACCCCACCTACCAGGTGGTACGACGAGTGCAAGGGCGAGAGGGAATACGACAAGGAGGACGATGATGACTACCACCCGTGGCTGGTGGACCAGCAGCCCAAGCAGTGCTGCTCAAGGCTCCATCCCATTTTTCCGTTGTGCTCTATACGATCGCTTCTCCCTCCCACCTATCACCGCACTGCAGGTGGTACGACGAATGGAAGGGCGAGAGGGAATACGACAAAGACGACGACGACGATTACCACCAGTGGCTGGTCGACCGGCAGCCCAAGCAGCCAGACACCCCCGCAGAGTTCTCACCCCCAGTGCCTCCCTCTCCTGTGTTGGATTTGAAAGGGCGGCGATTGCAGGTGGTGGTGAAGGTGGCGAGCATTCAGCTGACCCCTGAGAGCCCGAGATACCCCGGGGGTACTTGGCATGTGGAGGGCATGAGGAATGAGCATATTGTGGTGAGTTCTCCCCCCAACCGCCTCTCCCAGGCACGTGGCGGGGCTTAGGGGGTGTGTGGAATGTACACATTGTAGTTAGTGATAGGTGCTGTGGTGGATAGGAAGGAGCGAGTGAGGGCACAGTGAGGGGGAAGCGACTGGAGGTGGTGGTGTGGTGAAGGTGGCGAGCATTCGACTGACCCCTGATAGCAAGAGGTACCCTGGGGGTACTTGGCATGTGGAGGGCATGAGGAATGAGCATATTGTGGTGAGTGAATAGGGGTCGTGAAGGATGGGAAGGAGAGAGAGTGGGCACGTGGTGGATGTGAGGGGGCGGCGGGTGCAGGTGGTGGTGAAGGTGGCGAGCATTCGACTGACACCTGAAAGCCCGAAATACCCTGGGGGTACTTGGCTTTGCATGTGGAGGGCAAGTGGAGGGCATGTGGAATGAGCATATTGTGGCTAGTGGGTACCGGTGTGAGGCGGTAAGCGAGGGAAAGGGAGGGGATTGGAGGGGAGGAGAGGGGAGGGGAGGGGATAGGAGGGGAGGGGAGGGGAGGGGAGGGGAGGGGACGGGAGGGGAGGGGAGGGATGAGTATAGATGTATGAGTAGAAATATACTGGACCAATTGCAACTGATATTGTGTTTTCCCCGTATTTATCTTGGCAGAGCATCAGACCACACCCTCCCTTCCCTCCCCTTTTCCCATTCTCGTCCCCTTTTACCCCTTCTGCTCTCCGTCTCCCCTTCCCGCACCCTCTCCCGTTTTCCCTCCTCATTTTCCCTTTTCCCAGGCCACTGGCATCTATTACTTTGATTCTCACAGCATCACCGAGTCGCGCCTTCAATTCAGGATCACCGTTGCCGAACCAGACTACGATCAGAACGACAACAAAGGCATGCCATAACACCTCTATATCCTCCCCTCCACTCCCCTTTTTCCCCTCCCTCCCCTCCCCATTTTCCCCCTCCCTATCCCATTTTCCCCCTCCCCTCCCCATTTTCCCTTCCTCCAGGCCACGGGCATTTACTATTTCGACTCTCACAACATCACTGAGTCGCGCCTTCAATTCAGAATCACCGTTGCCGAACCAGACTATGACCAGAACGACAACAAAGGGGTGGCTCGGATATACGGCCTGGTGGACGACGGACCTCTCACCCAACCTCTAGGCTCGGTCCGGACCGACATCCCGAACCTCTGCCTCGCCTTTCCGAACCACTTCCACCACCGGGTCGCGCCGTTCGAGCTACAGGACAAAACCCGCGCCGGCCACCAGAAGATTCTTGTATTTTTCTTGGTGGACCCGCGGGTGGCAATTGTATCTACTGCACGCGTGCCACCTCAGCAGCTGAGCTGGCAGCGGAGGGAGCTGGAGAGAAAAGGTCATCCGTGCTCGGTTCTACCTGGATTGGCTTTAGATTTGATTGCACAGGGAGTAGGTGGGGGAGAGCGTAGAGGTGTGGAGGGAGAGGGTGGAGGAGAGGGTAGGGGAGAAAGTAGTGGTGTTGAGAGAGAAGGTGGAGAGGAGGGTAGGGGCGATGAGGGAGCAGATGGAGGCGAGGAGCAGAGTGGGGGGGCAGAGAGTAGGGAGGTCAGGGGCGTGGGGGAAGATAGCAAGGGTGTAGACAGCGAGAGCAGGGATGGCAGGGGAGCACCGATGACAATGGAAGAAGCAAAGAAGTACCGGGAGGCTCTGATGGAAGAGAGGAAGGCGCTGGTTCAGCTGGCCAATGAGGAGCTCTTTGAACGGCCCTTCTCCCTCTGCGAACACTGAAGGTGGTAAGTAAATATCGTAAGACAGCTGTCATATATGGTATAATGAATCAGCTGTTAGGAGGACGCTGGCCAATGAGGAGCTCTTTGTGCAACCTTTCTCCATGAGTGAGCACTAGTACGGTAGCAGCAGGGGTGTAAATACGGAGAGCAGGGATGGCAGGGGTGCAGAAAAAGAGAGCAAATATGAAGAGGCGAAGCATTTGATGGAAGAGAGGAGGGCGCTGGTTCAGCTGCGCTGGTTCGGCTGGCCGATAGGAGCTCTTTGTGCAACCTTTCTCTTGCGGATATGGTTCTTCTGGCCGTTAGGGAGCAATTTGAAAGGCCCTTCTCCCTTTTCCCTGCAAGGCCTTCTTACTCGAATGAGAAATACTACGTGATCCTGAAAAAGAGTGTCAAATGTGGGAAAAGATATACTGGACAATGACATGACATGGTTTGTCTCAATCAACAGCCCTGGCCCTGACATACCGGTACTACTGAGTTGTGGTTTGAGAGCGTAAACAGAAAAAAAAATCGGACAATTTCTCGATTTGTGCGTGTCATCCTTGTGTTAGAATTTGAAATGATCGAGTAGGATCGTATACTTAGGATGGTAGCTTCCTGTCGTAGCGGAAGTCTTGTATGAGTTAAAGCCAGTTATAGGAGGCTTTGTATGGACTAATAAAAGCCCATGTAGTGATATGTTTCAGGATCTATGTCTCTGAAATCGGATATATTATAAAATGACAAGCACACAGAATATATAGCTAGAGTAAAGTACCTGTTCGCCTACTGTACTGTATTATTCACGCTATTCCTGTTCTGAAACGGTACGTGACTATTCGCGAGGCCTATAGCTACGTGCTGACGTCATCCTAGGGCGCGTAGCGCTTTGCTGACGTCAACCTATCGGTACTTTTACTATTACGTGCGAAGTCTCGCACTGTACTAATTGTACTACACGAATTCCTTGAAGTGCTTAAGTCTCGATATTATCTCAACACTCCCCTTCACTTCTAGGAGTTCGGTGTAGTTACCCGGTTGCCTCAGAAACCCCGCTGAGCTGGTTGCAGTGGTGACATTTCTGTCGTGTCAGTTTCTTGGTAAGTGAGTCAGCTGCCATGTCACCGGTGGGACAGTAGACAAGGCGCATTCTCCCCTTGTCGATCGCATCCTTGACGAAGTAGTAACGCAGTGAAATATGTTTCGTGCGATTGACGAAGCCGGGCTTGTTGGCGATGGTAATTGCACTCTGGTTGTCGCACTGCAACGTGAACTGATTCGGCGTGACGAACTTTGTTTCGTCGAGCAGTTCCTGTAAGTATAGTCCTTCTCGAGTTGCAGCACACGCGGCGATGAATTCTGCTTCAGCCGATGAAAGTGACATGAGTTCCTATTTCGACGAGTTCCACGAAATCGGGCCAATTGGCTCGAGACGAAAGACGTAGCCTGTTCGTGACCGACGATCTGACGTGTCACCAGCGTGGTCTGCGTTGACATATCCGCTGAGGTACATTTTGTCGGTCGGTTTTCCTGTGTTGAAAATCAGCCCGACTGTTGGTGTTGCGACAAAGTAGTGTAGAGCGCGCTGCAGATCGAGATGGTGTTCTTCTTTTGGGCAGCGTAAAAACTATGCGAGATAGCTTGCGATGTAAGCAAGGTCGGGACGACATGTGACTGCTGCGAAGAGAAGACACCCGAGTTGCTCCTGGTACAGTTGTAGGCCAGCTGCTGAAAGTTTGGAGTTGTTTAGGATGTGCCCGGTGGGTGTAGAGCGATAGGGTGTAGCGACGTAATCTGCAGAAATCTTGAAACGCTTAGCGAGTGACTCAGCATACTTCGATGCTGTGAGGTGGATGGCGGAGGAGGTTCGCGAAATGTTTAACCCAAGAAATTGGGTTGCTTCGGTGGAGACAGTTAAATCGAGAGATTTCTTCAAATCTGCTTCGATGCGATCACCCAAGGAAGCCGAAGAGCTGACGTAGAGAATGTCATCCACGTATGCCACGAGCAGCGCGTAGCTCCCCTTGTCGTCTAGCCGATACATTCCGGGATCATGCGGCAGTTGTCGGAATCCAACCTCTGTAAGTTTCCTGTTCAAATGCTGCTGCCACAGTCACGGTGCTTGTTTGATACCGTACAGTGACTTCTTGAGCTTGCAGACACTTGGCGGATTTGTCGGATAGGTATGCGGATATTAGACGTAGATTTCAGCATCGACATCAGCGTACAGAAACGCGTTGGAAACGTCAATTTGTCGAAGCGGAAAATTCTTCGCAGCTGCTTCGCAGATGACTAGACGAACACTTGTGTGTCGGCTGACCAGGGCGAAAGTTAGCGTGTAGTCTATCCCATGAGTTTGGTCAAAACCGCGAACAACCCACCTTGCCTTATGTTTTTCATAAGAGCCATCAGCTTTCGTCTTCACCCTGAAGACCCACTTTCCGGTAAGACTATTTTTATTTACGCCTTTTTCGATGGGTATGAGCTCCCAAGTCTCCCGTTTTTCCAGGGCAGCCAGTTCACGATCCATAGCTTCACGCCATTTTTCGTGATGTGGTCCTGAAAGAGCCTGTCGGGCAGTTTTCGGTTCTGCGACTTCTGTAGAATTGTGCTGTACAGCTGCTGCGAGTCCCAGTATCCGAAGCCCAGTTTGATAATTAGGACTGTCTTCGGTCCGTCCTGCGAAATCGACAGGTTCATTCTGTTCACCACTTGCCCCCCCAATTTCGTCAGGATCGACGCGAATGCTGCTGTCAGTTACAGTTGGCATGGGACGTCGTTGGTCGTCCACCAGGTAAGTATGATGAACATCACGAACGTCCTCTGGATTAGCGTCGACGAGAGGAATGAATTCCGGAAATCCGGAAGAAGTGGTTGGTATAGGTGGATCGGGAACAGCTTCACGTGCATCGTCGAGGTCAGGTTCTTCGCTGGCAGCGAGTTCGGCGTCGGCGCTGGTGAATGAGCGAACACCATGGAAAAGAGTGGCAGGGTCACGCTGCGTGGCGAGATATTGTTCGAAGACGGGAAGGGTCAGATTTTCGTAGAAAATACAGTCACGGGCAGGAACCAAAAGGCGACTGCGGTAATCCATGATACGCCAGACAGAAATCTGCTTCTCAAGGCCGAGATGAAGGCCCCACTTAGCACGTTGATCGAATTTTCCGAGCGGAGCGGTAGGAGGACGGTATTACACGACACACCCGAAAACTCGAAGAAGTTTTGTAGTGCCCAATTTTCCTGTCCACAACAAGTGAGGTGATGCGTTGTTGGGTAGAGCCGATGAAGACAGGAGGTTATGCAACAGTGTTGCATGGTCCATTGCGAAGGGACAGTAGAGTGGGCCGAGTTGGGATTGAGCGAGCAGAGCTCGCATCTTTTCTTGGAGAGTTCGATTGAGGCGTTCTGCTACACCGCTCTGTTGGAGAGCGTGAGGAAGTTGTTAGAATCAGGGACGGAATGAATGAACTAGGAAGCAGGTGGGTACAAGTAGGAAACCTAAAAGTGTTGTACCCTATAAGGACTACCTGTGAATCAAGAAAACAGGAAATGAAATGACTAAGTGAAAGTTGGGTACAAAAGGCAAACCCTAGGCAACTGTACCCCATATGTGCTACCCCACTATAGCCTACAGTAGATATGTCATATAACTCCGACACACCCCCATAGGCAAAGTGGGGGAGAACAAGGGGTCACAAGACCAGTCAAGCAAAGCAAAGCAAGCTCAGGGTGGATCACAAAGTCACCACACATTCCGAGCACAAGTTCAAGGCCACAAGGCCAGTTCACATGCAGGATTATATATATATATGAGGCTAGACAAGCAAGAGCAGGAGTATATATATATGCAACAGTACAAACAAGGTCAAGAGGTGAGCAAGTGAGGCAAGGTAGGTACAAGACCCAGCTGAGTACAGAAGCGCTGATGATCACAAGGCGCAAGTGCCTTGGTGAAGATATCAGCAGTGTTGGCCTCAGAGGCCACGTACGCAAGTCGCAGCTGACCACGCTGCTGTAGCTCACGAGCAAGGAAGTAGCGAAGAGCAATGTGCTTCGTTCTGTGCTCCAGTCTCTGCTCTCGACACAAGGCCAGCATGGCCTTGTTGTCTACGTAGAGCACTGGAGGAGAACGAGGCGGCTCTCCGAGGTCAGTCAGCAGGTAGGTGAGCCAGCGAAGCTCCTGTGCAGCCATGGCCCCGGCGTAGATCTCAGCCTCACAACTGGAGCCGAGAACAGAAGACGAGCGAGTAGCCCGCCACGAAACAGAGCCGGAACCAAGGCTGAAGGTGTAACCCTGTGACGACCGCTGCGTAGCCTGGTCGTCAGCCCAAGAAGCGTCTGCGTGTCCAGTGAGGACCACTGGACTCTGCCCTCCAAGCACAAGCCCCATGCTCGACGTACTGCACAAGTAGCGCAACACCCTCTTCGCTGCAGCCATGTGCTCCGGTCTGTGTCTCCCAGGAGCAACATAGCGTGCAAGAATGCTAAGAGAGTATGCAAGGTCAGGTCGTGTGCAGGTCATCAGGTACATGAGGCAGCCAACAAGCTCTGGGTACGGGCCACTCGACTCTACGGACTCATCCGAAGGCAGAGCTGAGAGCGAGTGGCGAGTAGGCAGAGGAGTGGCCTGAGGCGAGGAGTACGTGAAGCCGAAGCGCTGAAGGACCTGCTGCACCATGTGTGACTGAGTCAGGGTAATGGTGCGGCGTGCTCTGTCCCGGGTGATCTGCAAGCCAAGGTAGCTGCGCAGTTCACCCAGGTCTGTGCACGTGTGTCTCTTCTGCAGCTCGGACTTCACGTGGGCGAGTCCAGCAGTGTCAGCTGTGGCAAAGACCAAGTCGTCGACGTACACGAGGATGTAGAACGGCTGCAAAGAAGTGTCGGTGCGCAGAAACAGCGACGGGTCGGCAGTAGAGGGAGCAAACCCAAGAGCCGCAAGTGTAGTCCTCAGTGTGTCGTGCCACTCACGCGGTGCCTGGCGGAGACCGTAGACTGGCCGCCGGAGGCTCCACTGGG